GCTACCCTAATAACAGCACGCTTAGCAGAACCCTGAGAGAAGTCAATCCTAAATCTGTATTCCCGGAAGCCCTGTGAGAGCCTTTGAGCTGGGGCCGTCTGGTCTTAAAGAGGAAATGGGCCAACGGAAGCTGGATCCGCAGGAGGGAATCTTTTCTGCCTCTTGCAAAGTGTTTTGGAGTTCCGTAGATATGGGCTGCCTTGACAACCAGAACAAGGACTTATCATGTAAGATTACATCATAGGCATCGAGGGGCTATGCGAGGACAATATTACCAATTCTGACCATCTTAGTAACCCTGCAGCCTAAAGCCCCCCAATCTTGCGGTATCTGACCTAGTGTTTAGGGTTTAAGAGTTGAGGGTCTAACTAGGGTTTAGGGTTTTAGGGTTTGGGGTTTAAGGTTTAGGGTTAGAGTTTTTTAACTCTCAAACCCTAAACTTTGCAAACCCTAAAACTTAGGGTGTGCAACTTAAGGTTTAGAGTACAAACCTGCTGTAGCCGAAACTCTGAAATCGAGGCACAATATAGGAGCGTAACAATCATAAACAGTGTTTTGGGGATTCACTACAGTACAAGTGTAGTCTCGGACTCTCGGCTTCTATACTTTGCTCCTACACAGAGCTCTTGCCTGATTAAGGCTGGCACGAAGTAGAAGCCCTTAATTTCAGGCTTTGTGCTTATGCCCTAAGCTCTGAACCGTAAACCCTTGCCCTCATAGTCCATTGCACTGAGACGGGTATAGTATGTTAGGGCAAGCCTCAACTTGAATGTCCGGCAGCCGACCTCAAACGCTATGGTTTAGGGTTTCGGGTTTAGGGTCCAGGGTTTTATGGGTTCAAAGTCTCAGGATTTTTTGGATCAGGTTTAAGGTTGAGTAGGCTTAAAGATTCCCTCCATTCCTTCCATCTGCCACACTCTTTGCCCACAGGTGCGATCAAAACCCGAAGGGTCCAGCTACTCACATACCCAATTAGCGCGACCATTCCACAACCCCCAAAACCATAGCGCTAAACTTACGGTCTGCTGCGGAAGTCTGCACTTACTGCTACCGTAAGTGCAAGAAACCCCTCGCTCTGACGAAGCACACAGGCTTGTTCTCAATACGATTGCAGATTCGCCTAATACCCACCCCCACCCAACTCTGTAATCCTACATTAAACCTTAAACCCGAAATCCCAAGCCTTAAACCATAAATCCACAGGGTACAAGGAGGGACCCTTAATAAGGACCCCTAGGTATATACCCTTAATATAGCTGTTACAGGGTAGGGGTCCCCATTAAGGGTCCCTCCTTGTCCCCTTTGAACAAAGCTGAACTGCTGCACCCGAAACTTTAAGACTTCTTCCTGGAAGTCCTCAACTTGCGCCGTTATTTCATCACAGGGACCCTTAGGGGGGTAAGGGGGAGGGGGTAGGGGACTACACTTCTTTAAATAGACCTTGTGAGGTACTTATTATGGGCACTAAGGCCCCCTACCCGCCTAAGGGTCCTTATGATTTCACTAGGCTAAACCTTTCAAGCCTCCGAAACATGTTCGTACATGAATGAGAGTCTCCCACGGCCAATGAAGGAAACTCAAAAGCATCCCAAAGGCCCACCAACCCCTCAACCCTATATCCTAAACCCTGTATCCTTACTAAACCCGATTATCTACACCTAATATCCCAAAGGCCTACTTAGGTGCACTAGGACCCTTCAGGTTGGTGCTTCTGGACAGCTCTGGCCTCGCAAAACTGACATACATAAACGTTTTCGAAAATTGGGGGGGGGGGGTACCTTATTTTGGGGTCCTTATAATAAGGCTCCTACTATTTAGGGTACTATGTTAGGGTCTCCTATTTATGGAAACTCCCACATGGGTTTACTGAAGCCTGAGGAGTTCAGGGTTCAGGGTTAGCCTTGCCAATATCATTTGAGTTGGCGTTCCAGGGCTTAGGGTGCATTCTCGAGTGTCATACTACCTAACTGGTTTTGCGGCCGGAAGCCAGAGAAACTGTGCAACTTGGATGAGTGAAACTTGTGCTTCAATCGCAGGAAGCCTCAACGAGTGTGCTGCTTGCATGACCTCCTGGACGATATTGACATTGAATGGCGGGTGTGTATAGTAAATGTATGTCATAAGTCATGAGCACAGAAATAAAGCCAGCACGTAGACGCACACTAAGAGACAGCACATATACATAGATGTGTGTACATATATGTATGTGTGCATATATATATATATATGAGCGTTGATCAATATTCTTATTTCTGGAAATGGTTTCTTCGCGGATTATTGCTTTCCTTTCGCGGGACTTTCGCCCTCACTTTCGCGCGACATGTTTGAGGTAGTAGTAGCAGTAGTAGTAGTAGTAGTAGTAGTAGTAGTAGTAGTAGTAGTAGTAGTAGTAGTAGTAGCAGGAGTCGTAGTAGTAGTAGTAGTAGTAGTAGTAGTAGTAGTAGTAGTAGTAGTAGTGGTAGTAGTAGTAGTAGAAGTAGAAGTAGAAGTAGAAGTAGAAGTAGAAGTAGAAGTAGTAGTAGTAGTAGTAGTAGTAGTAGTAGTAGTAGTAGTAGTAGTAGTAGTAGTAGTAGTAGTACGAGTAGACGTAGAAATAGAAGTAGAAGTAGAAGTAGAAGTAGTAGCAGTAGTAGTAGTAGTAGTAGAAGTAGAAGTAGAAGTAGAAGTAGAAGTAGAAGTAGAAGTAGAAGTAGTAGTAGTAGTAGTAGTAGTAGAAGTAGAAGTAGAAATAGAAGTAGAAGTAGAAGTAGAAGTAGAAGTAGTAGTAGTAGTAGAAGTAGAAGTAGAAGTAGAAGTAGAAGTAGAAGTAGTAGTAGTAGTAGTAGTAGTAGCCGTAGTAGCAGTAGTGCTAGTAGAAGAAGCAGTAGTAGTCGTAGTAGCAGTGGCAGTAGCAGAAGTGGTGGTAGCAGTAGTAGTAGAAGTAGTGATGGTAGTAGGAGTAGCAGTAGCAGTAGCCAGGCTGCAAAAGCCGACTCCAAGTCGTGGGCCATGGCGTGTGCCATGGCCTTCAAACGACGGGGCTTCTTTCGCGGTGTCATTCGCGCAACTTTATCGGATCTTTCGCGCTAAACCTACTATGATTTCACAAAAAATATACCTGCTGACGTTGATGCTGCGTGTACGTCGGAAAGACCAGTCCTTGAAGCGCAAAAGCCTGAATGAAAGGCACGACCATGCCCAACTCCCACACCACCTCCAACACTTTGTGGACTGGCAGCCGGTCGGTTTAGCTTTGAGTAAATTACGGTATATTATAGCATGGCGGGACAGCGAGTTTGAGATCTGTATGCCTACGGACTGGTACGGCATATACCATACAAGTCCTATAGGACAAAATCTATTACGCAACAACTTTCGCGGATTTTTGTTTTCGAAATTAACACACGCATGTGCACATATATATATATATATATATATATTATATTATAATATATATATATATATGCACATGCGTGTGTTAATTTATGGCACTACATATGCGTATAAACATCTGTAGGTTGTATACTCACATTCATTTGAATTTTTTTGGGCCCAGACACAAACGATCCTTCTTGGTGAAGCCTCTGGGATTGGGCTTTTGAGAGATTTCTGCCACGGCTTTAGGATTTTGTACTTCAGGGTTTCGGGTTCAGGGTTTAGGGTTCAGTCAGGACGGTCCTCAACAGAGGGTATTTGGCGTGCAACAGTAGGTGGCTTTAGGGTCTCAAGTCGCTAGAATTCTATCTAGGGTTTAGGGTTTAGGAACCCTAAACCCTAAATCATATAGACCCTAAACCCTAAACCGCCTGTGGCACCTTTCGCTGTTTGCACTCCTCTGCTACTCGTGAAACTCATCCAGCGCTTCGGGCTTAGGCTAGGGCTTGCGAAGTTCTTCCGGGCACCTTAAGCCCTAGATCTTACAACCTTATAACCTTCGGGGCTAGGTATCCTAGCTCCCCCAAAATGCTAACTTCTTAAATAACTATGGTAGGAATATATCGACCCCAAAACGATGAAGCTTACCTTCTGAGCTATTGAGCAACTTAATTCCCTAAACAGAGGAGACCATCAACCCGGGGCTTGGTCCCGTAGTGTACCGAGCAAGTCCTGAGACCTAAGGAACCCTAAGGCTACATGTACCCAAAGAGGATATACTTTGGCCTTAAAGTGCTCCCTACATCCATATATAGGTACACGGGGCCCATAGTATATACTATTTGGGCACATGGACCCTTAGGCAAACACAGAGTTCCATAATCCAGCAGCTACCTTCTTGCACATCATTTTATGGCCAGATGCTTCCTATTCTTAGCCATATGATGACTCTTGTTCTTACTCTCCCTTATTCTGCTTCTTATTGCGATCCTATAAACAAGTTGCACTAGTAGTAGGAGTCGTCGTCGTCGTCGTCGCAGTCGTAGTCATGGTAGTTCCTGGCACTACCGAGTTGTTGCCTCAAATCGTATGGAGCGTCCCTCCGTACTGTATGGCATGTAGCTTGTGTCAGTCTTTAGCACCAGCCGTAGAAGTCTAAGTCTAAATACGAAGTGGATTTCATGGTTTAGAGCTTCGGGGTTGAAAGCTTCAAACCAACTGCACAGACTCCATGTTCAGGAGCCTTTACCAAGACGGACCTACACACCCGATAAGTAGAACCAGCAAACCGGAACACCTAATAGGAGAATCCCTGCAGCTATCATCTCTCTCTGCTCTACTGATTGCCCGGAACCCTAAACCCCAAACTCTGAATCCTAAACCCTGAGCCATTAGACCCTAAATCACCAGCTTTAGAAGTCTATGTCTAAGTACATGTGGGATTTAGGTTTAGAGCTTAGACCCTGAATCCATCAGACACAAGAGGGTCCAGATATACTCCTATCAGGGAGTTAGTGCCCCAAAACCATAGTAGGGATGGTCTTTTGAGACCTGATTCCATGACGGCAGTGTATATGGACCCTCTGGGGGCCCTAAGGCCTCCAGAACCGAAGCCCGCAGCCAGGACGTCTAGGCCGGACATGGCGTCACTTCATGCCTTGGCAAGAGCTTTGGTTTGGGTTTAGGGTTTAGGGTTTAGGGTTTAGGGGTTTAGGGTTTAGGGTTTAGGGTTTAGGCGCTTAGGGTGTAGGGGTTGGGGTTTAGGTCGCCGGCAGTTTAGGGCTTAGGGGTTTAGGGTTTATGCAGGCAGTCATGGGACAATCTCGTATCGTTGGTGGAAACCTCTCATCGCTGAAGTTGGCATGTTCTACGGTTGATGATATAAATCCTGCATTACCCATAATAACATAATTCCCATAGTTTAGGGTCCTTAAGGTAAGCAGGATTTTCATCATCAACCACACCACCACCACGTCATCAGTAAAGTCGCCGATTTCTTTACCTCCCCTGGAGGACGACCTGGCCAAAGGCAGCGGTCAATCTGAATATTGTATGCTAATTGATAGAGATTCAAGCGAGGCTCCGAGCCTATGCTATGAAAGCTTGCATGCTTGTCATCAGTCACTACATCCTAAAACCGCAATCTCGCGGTGCCCGCAGATTCAAAACCTATACTGCTTCAGGAGACGTTACGCTGAAAGGCTACGCTTTAGGTTTCAGGGTTCAGGGTTATGCTACAAAGTTACAACCTATCATGTTGCAGAGTTTGGAAGTACCGGTATTGCGACAACCCCACATGCGGAGTCACACACCGAGATGGCAAACTAGTCCTAGAAGAGCTCAAGCGACATCATCCCCAATTCGAGATTTGGGGTCCGGTCCTTATAACCCCGCGTGAACTCCATCACAACCGAGGCAACTAATCTAGGGAACTTGTATAGATGGGCTAAGAGAACCCGAACCCCAAGTAGAACCCTAAAAACATTACAAAGCGTGTATAAAACCCTTGTCAAACTGTGGAAATCCTTCAAACGCTTGTAGGACCTTCATAATTATCGCCTTTGTGAGCACCTTCTTATAACCAATGTACAAGCCTGAACTTTAAACAACACCATAAACCCTCAACCCATAACCAGTCCCCTAAACCCAAACAGTACATTCTCGAACCCTAGGCAGCAAAGCCACAAAAAACCTAAACCCCGAAACACGGCAGTCGGAAGAAGTAGTACTCGTGCAGGTTTCCTTGGTAACTAGACTTGGCTACACCGCAAAACCCTGTTCTACTGTTTCGGGCCCTTATCGCACAGAACTCGTACAGCAACCCATACAGAAACCTTTAAATTACCCCTACGAAGAACCCCACTCTACTGATGGAAGCCCTTTCACTATGTAGGTAGTTGTCAAAATCATGGTCCCTTTTTAGGTACCCTAAATATTAGGTGCCGCATCATAACAAGGACCCAAAAAAGGGACCCTAATTTTGACAACCACCCATATACAGCCTTTATAGAAAACTAATATGGACTATTATTTAGGGAACCCAAAGAGGGACCCTAATTTTGACAACCACCCATGTGGTTCTGCCGACTTCCGAGTTGCGGGTGACCGTGCGCTGCTTGGTGCCAGCCTTTACGACCTGGTAAGGGCTTAAGGGTTTCCTTAACCCTGAATAACCTACCATTTTAAAGGTTCCTTATTATGAATTCCTTATATAAGTCCTTAAAAAGGTAAGTTATTCAGGGTTAAGGTTAAGGTCTCGGGCTTAGGGGTTTAGGGTTTAGGAAACTTGGAAAATGGATTAAGTTCCCCCGAAGACTCTACTTATATACTTTATTCGCATGGGGACTTCTACTCCAGTATGGTTCAACTGGTGCAAAGGGTCCAAGTAGACAAATAGCAGGGTTTCAAGGACCAGAAACCATTCAGAGTATGCATTGTGGGACCTAAAAACCCTACTATTTGGGTACTCGGACCCTCTGGGTGGGCTTCCCTTAGACTGGGTTCTTGCTGAGGAATATCTCTCTGGATACCATAATAGGGATCCATAGCAAACACTAGGGCTTCTTTGCTGTGATAACTCGAACTAAACCCTAGAACATAAACGCAAAGATCTTCAAGCAGAGCCCACTCAAAGGTTGGGATTTAGGGTTTAGGGTATGCCTTCCTTGAACTTTTAATGGCTCTGTAAGGGTTGATGTTTACCGTTTAGGGCTGTTGCTGTCTTGAACTGATCTTTACATATTTTGCTGAAGGCGCGCATGACCGAAAATTACCTCTGAGGGGTTGGGTTTAGGGTTCACTAGTCGTTGGCTGGTTGAGCGCTCAGAATATTTCTCAATGAAGGAATAATGGACAGGTGTTTCTTCACATAAATATCTCTTCCGTCAGAAGTCCCCTTCCTGAAACGGGTGCTCAAATTTAGGAGTGTGTGTGACTCAGAAACGATGAAGGTTTGTGCATTCCTGACCTCCCCAACAGGGACACCTCACATACGCACTCCCCAATATTCCTTCGGAGCACTATTTACACTCAACGACACCCCCATCTTTAAGCCTAAAAACGTGCCGTCTTTTTGTCCTGACAACACATAACAGTCCTATATAGACCCAAACCCATTAAGGTTCATGAATGACAGATAAGCCTCGTCGTTAACGGAACCTGGTCTAAACATCTATAGGGCCCTACATGGGAGTTTCCGAAAATTAGGGATACCTTATTCTGGGGTCCTTGTAATAAGGATCCTACTACTTAGAACACTATATTAGGGTCCCCCATTTCCGGGAAACTCCCACATTACCTTAAATCCCGCCTTCTCATCGGTGGGAAGCCCCTTCCGTTTTCGGATCGCATCCTCAGGTGCGCTGCTGGTGGTCCTACTTGAAGGGGCATGGGACTTAGTAACTAAGGGTTCTATAAGGGTTCGTTCAAAGGATAATATAATTAGGTTTTAGAGTAGGGTTCCCTTAAAGTTTTTTTTTTGGGGGGGGGGGGCTCCTTTTTCCGTCTGCAATCCACAGTTGGAAGGCCATTCGGCCAGGAGAACAGGGAACCCTTTCGAACCCTGCTTTGCCTCTCTCAGGTGCCACCCTCGTCAGCCCTGTTCCGTCTGATTGTTCAGCCTCTTAAAAGGTTTGGGGTTTAGGGTCTACTTAACGGGTCATGGGACTTAGTAACTGGGGTTACAATTGAGGTAACTATACAAGGTACTTATAACCATACTTGCTAAGTCTCATGACCCTCCAAGCAGGTACCTCCGTAGGCTCTCCTATTCAAACCCCTAAACCCTAAACCCCGAAACCTACTAAACCCTACAGGTTATTTAGGGCTCGACAATTTGGGGTTGATGTTACAGGTTCGAGGCAACCTGCTCTGTCACAATACTGCCGTAGCCGCAGTGGTGGCAGAGCAAACTCCAACAACACCCAACCCTAAACCCTGAACCCTAAACCCTAAACCCCAAATCCTCAGCCCTTAACCCGGAAAGCCTAAACCCCTAAACCCCTAAACCTAAACTCCCAACACTTGCAAACCCGAAATCTTGCAACATCCCCAGGGCCGAATCCCTGTCGCCCAAAGCACGAGATGGTTCAAAAGTACCTTCCCAGAGAGTTCTAGGGTTTAGAGTGGAAGCCCAAAAGTTGGAAACCCCATAGCCTCAATCCTTAAGAGTAATGTATAGGGAATCCCAGCACTATTTGGCCTTAATCCGGTTTCCAACTTTATGGAGTTCACTATAGGGGTAGGGTTTAGAGCCCTCAAGAAAGCAACATACTTTAAATCTTATTCGGGTTTTACGATACTCATAAGTATATTCCTGTGTTAAATGGTTTTGGGCGTCTCTGGGTTCTAGGGATCTGCGACGAGAGGCGATGAGCTTCCGGGCCGTGGTGGGCGGCAGAGGCTGATCCCCGAGCTCCTTTACAGAATTTCACGTTGCAGGTTTGAGATCCAACCTGGAGGCTTAAACCTACAGGTTTGAGCGCGCGGGACACAGAGACAGCGATTTAAACTGAAGCCTGTGGATGAAACAATGAAGAAGGGACCCGAACACCAATAAATCTTGGTGTGATTCGGTTCGCTCTGCTTCGACTTGAAGGCTTATGCTTGGAGGTTCATGGGACTTAGTAAGTACAGTTATAAGTACCTTAATTGGGGTTAAAAGTATTTATAAGTATGGTTATGTGTTTATGACCGTAGTTACCAAGTCCCATGAACCTTCAAGTAAGCAGTAGGCCAGAAGATTGTCACAGATTGGTCTAGCTACGACTCACCACAATATGGAATGCAAAAAATGAATATGTCTTTCTCCGTATGACTCAAACACGAAACCCAAAACCTCCCAGAGACTCTGAAAACTCTTAACTAAGGCAATATAACTCAAACTATAAAAGGAACCCTAATACGATTCACGGTGCATTGCTAAATCAAAGGCTTTTGGAGTCCCAGGGGCCTCAACCCCACACCCTATATAAACCCTCAACCCCAAATCCTAAACCCTAAATCCTAAACCCTAAACCCTAACTAAATCCTAAACCCTAAACCCTAAATCCTAAACCCTAAATCCTAAACTCTAATTAAACCCTAAACCCTGAATCCTAAACCCTAATTAAACCCTGAACCCTAAATCCTAAACCCTACACCCTACACCCCAACTTCAGGTACCGACTTCGGGGCTGTAGGCCAACCGCCGAGTTCTCGGCTGCTGCGCTGCGCTGTGGAGCCATTTCTCTTTAAATTAATGGAGCGCTGCCTTAAAAGGACCCTAATTGGGGTTATGGTACTTAGAAGTCTCTAAAATGACTACTTACTAAGTCCCCCGACCCTCCAAGCAGGACCCCCCAATAGCCCTTTAATGGAGCCCTAATGGCCCTTAATAGTAGGTGTTTGGGGTCTATTGCAGGGTAGTTTGGGGTCTAGGCGTAGGCTCCGATAAAGCGAAACCATGTAGAGCGTCCTTAAGCATTTCTCCCAAGGGTCCATGTACTCATATAGTATACACATTGGCCTTAGAGTAATCCCAATATATATATATATATATATATATATATATATATAGGTACCTGAGGGCCAAAGTATATACTATTTGGGTATGTGGACCCGTAGGGCTGGGTACTTTAGGATCCGGAAGCCCGCTGCCGAACCACTGACGAAGCTGATTCATCAGGCGTTAGCAACATAGTTTGACTTTATGGCTTAAGGGTTTCAACGCCTACACAATACTTATGGCATTGAGCTTGGAAAAGCAACCAAAGCAAGCAGCCCAGTCTGAGCCCTTGAAGTTTATGGATTATGCCTTGTGCCCTTGCTCCTCCAGCTCGTCGGGCGTCAGCGAAGCTTCCTGCAGACCCGCATCACCAAACTCTCAACCCGATGTCCTCATCCACCTTCCTTGTCCCTAAACCTTAAGCCCTGGACCCTGGTCCCGAACCCAAACCCGAAATCACCTAAAGCCTACAGCCTGATCACCCAGATCTCCTAAGACGCATGGGAAGTAGGTTCGTGTTGCCGGTATCCCGTTATACCACACAAGATATACACTCAGTAGTCTCCCAAAAGATGTCTCTGCACTTGTCCAGTAGCATGGGGGAACTGAGGATTAACCTTTTGGGATAGTATAGGGACTATAATACCCCGAACAGGTCAAAGGCTACCACTCTACTACCAGGTATTTCATGTGAAAGATTCTGAATCGAAGATGAGGAATCCAGACTCCGAGGTGGAGGGTCCAGATGAGAGGTTGAAATACTGACTGATAAGTAGTATCCCTGCACACCCAAAGGCGCCATGTACCTTTATAGTAGATACTTAAGCCTTAAAGCGGTCCCTACATAAGCACTTTAAGGCCAGAGTAAATACTGATTATATGGGGTACATGGAGCCTTTTTACCCTAAACCCTGTAGAGCCCTTCTAGAACCCTTAAAGCATCCCTTTAAAGGAACCCTTAAAGGATCCCTATTCGGGAGATAGTCTGCAAACGGAAAGTTCCTCTAAATGAGGGTGCCAGGAGTCCCTCCTAATCGCAAGGTCCTCTTTACCAGGGTGCCCTTCTCTAAAACCGGGTCCCAGTTCAGAGAATTACCCATGTAGATATAGAAAAGTACACCCTAAACCCTTGATGTAGGGGACTTAATAATTAGAATAGTAGGGTTTTGGGACCCACAATATCATAACTATGACAAGGAACCCTCAAAATAGTAATCATTGGTAATTAGGTCGGCCCCCATAGTCAACCCCAAAGCCTCCGGTCCTGGAACGGATCCTCCTCCGACAGCTCCCAGTGTGAGAAAGCGCAGTGAAACGACACGTGGCCTGCAGCGCGTCTCGCTGGATTCCCGAGCCCGAATAGGGATCCTTTAAGGGTTCCTTTTAAAGGGATACTACAAGGGTTCTAAAAGGGCTCTGTAAGCTTTAGGGTATAAGGCTCTCCATGTACCCATATAATTAGAATTTACTTAGGCCTTAAAGTACCTATATAGGGACCCCTTTAAGGCTTAAAAGTCTCTACTATAAAGGTACAGGGTGTACCCTTGAGGGCTGAGGGCTTGAAGGACTCTAGGCTTAAGGGTCAAATTACTTAAAAAATCCGTAAACCCTCAGCCCGAAAGACCAACGAGGACTGTGAGTTTTAGTGGAAGGTTAGTGATGATAGGCAGTGCAAAGGGTTTAGGGTTCAGGGTTCAGGGTTTAGGGTTGACAGTTGAAGTTACAACATGGCATCAACGGCTTACCCCCGGGGTAAAGAAACGCATCAACGCAGGCTTCGCTACCGGAAGGATCCTGTGACTCAGCACCCATGTGACGCCCTAGGCACCAGTATACATATCTTAAAACCCCAAACCCCTAAACTCTGAATGCCCTGAACTCTAAACCCTATAAGCCCTGAAACCAAAAAGCCCTACACTGCTTTGTTCTTTTGGCCTGATGCCGCTTGCCGCAGATCTTTGGCGAGATCAAACCTGGACCCGAGAGTTGGTTGTGCCTATGAGTCTCCTTATAGAGTTTAGGATTCAGTGTTTAGGGATTAGGGGCTCCTTGATCCCTCACGGATTTAAGGGTCTAGTGATAAGGGGTTTAGGGTTTAGGAGTTTGGGGCTTTCGGGTTTAGGGGTTTAGGGGTTCTGAAAGGGTTTGGCGGCTTAGGGGTTGCAATGTGCCTGCCAGGCTTTCCAGGGTATGAACCACGTGCTTGTAAAGTTTTCTGTTTTTTGCTTAAACTTTCTGGTGCTGTAGTGGTTTATGCGGTTTTAAGGCTTACGCAGGACCGCTGGTTGAAACACGAGATATGTGCATCCTGATTGAGTATATCCCAAATATGATGCCTCAACCTTAAGCTCTGATAGGGAAACCCGAATGGGAGTTTCCGAAAGTAGGGGACCCTAATATAGTACCCTAAATAGTAGGATCCTTATTCTAAGGACCCTAAAATAAGGTACCCCCAATTTTCGGAAACTCCCATATAACCCCGCTGCTCATGGTCTACACATGTTACTAAAGTCATCCTTCGTCTCAGCTACTTCCCGAAGGGCCCAGGTATTTAACAATCATATAATCACATACTCTCCCAAGCACTAGCCTACATAATTGCTACCCGAAACCCAAATATCTAATGCTTGGGTATCTTGAACCCCAAGGGCTTAGCAAACCGAGCGACCCGGATCATCATGGAACGTCTTCCGAGGATGCAGGTCGAGTCAGGGCTTGACAAGGATCGTATGATATGGGACGACAAAACAGGTATGGCATGCTGGGCAAATCAGAATTCAGGCATTTGAATAGGGCTAAACCCTAAACTCTGAACTCTATTTCAGGTTCACAATCGGAAACACAGTGTCAGAACAGTGTCAGAACAGAAGCTCCCAGAAGGTTCGACAAGTCCAGAAGCCCTTAACTTCGCGCTTCTGCACAGACCCCGACAGAATCATAAACCATGAGCCTGAGGGTTTAGGGTTTAGGGTTTGCCTTTGAACGCAAAAAGCAGATGCTGAAGCAGATCTAAGGCAAGGAACGAGTTCGCAAGCGGGATGTAAGCATGGATGTAGAAGAGAGACGTCCCTTCTCGAAGGCCTTCCTCCTGAAGGCACGTGAGAAGGCGCAAACAGCAGCTTACAAGGCTGTAGTTCAGTGAAGCTTCGAGGACCATTACAGGTGCTTTTAGGGGTTCGGTTTGGTTTGGTTAACTTGTCCGGATGCCTATGAAGATGTGCCACGATCATTCGACTATGACAACCCTTGCGCGGAAGATTCGTAACCATGCACATGCTGTAGCACCGGAATTTTCTGGCGGATACAGCGTGTGCACGACCCATATCTCGGAACTTCACACCGTACCATCCTGTAGCCACCCTCGATGAGCGAGGAAGTAGGCGCTACACCCTGAAGAAACCCTTGAACCCAGCAAAATGTGGCCTTAAATGATGTATAGGGTTTGAGGACGAATGCATGGGGTAACCTTAAGCCCTATAAGAGCATATTATAAGGCATACTGCAAAGCAGCCGACCTCCTACATCTTCAGGCATTTCGGGAGATCCAGCGAATTCGTATCTGAGAGGGTTCAGGGTTTAGGCTCTTCGGCCGTTCTCCCAGCTTAGCACACTCTGCAACAGAGTCGGCGATCTTTTCTTCAGAAGGGTCTAGCATCAGAAATCAGAAACCTCCGTGGAAACCCGGAGGAGTCCCCAAACTTTCTTTGTTGAGGGTGCAACGTGAGACTGTTCAACTCAAGGTTATGACATTATGCAAATCCCCTCGGAGGAAGCATGCAGCGGTTGCCTAGCTAAGCATGAACCAACTTGAAGGCTTTGCGTGTTGGGAAGGACTAAGGAAGAGTAACCTCTTGTGTAAGGTTGTGACGGTCCCGGAGACTCCAATATCCCTTAGTCAACGAAATATACCTGAAATCATATCTTCAACTAACGGGCAAGTCGGCTGTCGAGAGACCGCTGCGTTGACCGAGCGAAATCGCATTCGGTGGGGCCATCCCGATTCGCATGCTTGATGATGCAAACCACTGGGGATCTAGCCGCGGCGGGCAAACTCAATCTCAAGGTGCCACCCGTGATAGTACGACTCGTGCCAATCACGAACTGTGACGGCCGTGTTCGCGGAGAGGAAAACTCCTCCTCCGGATGCGGGAATGGCTGCCCGCACTGCACATCTCTTCGACTCAACAGTGGGTCTACGTCGACCCTCGCTGGGCTCCCAAAGTGGCCAGGTCCGTCGCCCAAAGTCCACCCGGAGAAGATGAACATTAGGATGCAGATATTTCCTACTTTCCGGAAACTCTAAACCCGAAACCTTTTATATAACCCTTATAGATCCCTTTAAGGAATCCCTAAATCAACGTTCGAACACGAAGCACGTGTTCTGTAGCTTTGCCAAACCCCTTAATCCCTAAACCTTAAACCCTTGCTGAAGCTTTGCTTCCCCAGAAATACGCAGCCCGTGCGACTGAGTACATCCCCTAAGGGTCCAACGGTGGATGATATAAATCCTGCATTACCCATAATAAGGAATATGCCATAATTCCCATAGTCTAGGGTCCTTAAGGTAATGCAGGATTTATATATCATCAACCGAAGTACCCAAATAGCAGGGTTTCAAGGTCCAAAAATCATTCAGAGTATGGATTTTGGGACCGAATAACCCTACCATTTGGGTACTTGGATCCTTTGGGATCCCTTCTGGGATTGGAATATCGCATGTAGACTCCTCGTGGTTATCATCCATGTCATGTAGCAGCCATACGGATCCTTAAGCCTTACGGTTTAGGGTTGAGGGGTTTAAGGATTAGGGGTTTAGGGTTTAATACTTGGAACAAAAGTTCGAGGCATATAGTAGTGTAGTGGTATATGGGCCGTTTAGACCTTTGCACGATGTCTTACTACTCGTCCCTCAAAACCAACATGATTTCGTACACTGAGCCGTGTACACCAGTTATTCCAAAGACCCCAAACCTTGAACCCGAATCTCAAACAACAGACCCCAAACCCTGAACTCTCGTAGCAACCCTTACTCTAGCCCCGAATTATTCTTTCACGAGGACTGTGAAACCCCTTAAAAGGGTGCTTGAGAAATCCGGGGAATCCATAAAGCGGCATACTATATACTTCCACCCATCGCGATGCCTGCACCTTGGCACGGCGCTTGCCGAGCACTGCGTAGACCTTTCCGAGCATCTCCTGCATTTAGTAGGGATTACGGTTTAGGAGGACACTTTGAAGCTGCGGTCAGTGTAGTGTATGGTATACTATATCGTGAATGAAGGAGCCCTAGGATTGGTCCGACACCTTTCCCTAAGGGTCCAAGTACGAAAAAAAGTAGGGATTCAAGGTCCAAAACCGTTCAGGGTTGGGATGTTGCGACCTGAACCCTTACTATGTGAGTCCTCTGACCCTCAAGGTTTGTTCGATCTCCCAGGTAAGTCAAAGGGGACAGATGGGGGGCTTCCTGAAACATAAACAGAGAGGGTCTGACAAGGCTTCACAGATGATGTCATTGTAGGGGGGCTGCTTCAAATCAAGGACCGTCGCAAAGTCTAAACATCAAGGCTCCTACCATTTATAAGATCTAAGTTACGATCCCGCTTGTCTTCTGAAGCTTCCATATCATATGAGCTAAGCCATCAACCAACACATTCTAGGGCTTAGGGTTTCGGTTTCACGATCTAGGGTTTTCGGGCTCAGGGTGTCAAGCTCAGGGTGTTGAACTGATGCCTTTCTTGGGGCTGGTGTTAAGCTCGCATGTGAGGGCCCAACTAAACTGCGGTACCCGATGTATAGGGCGGGTTTGGGCTATATTATCATACATCAGAAGGAGCCCCCCCAAAATTAGCATAGGTAATTCCGAAGGCCTTTATATGAGCTGGAAATAGGGTTTTAGGATACGTAGGACTATGATAAGGGAACTTGAGGAACACAATGACAAGCTTCGACACTACTGTGCTGCGGTTGCTGAGCTTCGTGAGCTCCAGCGGGGCGTGCTGAGGCGCTCTGCTTGAAGCTGTCTTGCCACTCTTGTCGGGGATACTTGTTATAGTTATCCTGGTTACGGAAACACAGTTCACAGACTAGCTCATCAACAAAAGCAGGGGCTAATCAACGGGGTCTTGACCAGGCCCTGAAACTCGCCTTTACGCCACAAATCTACGTAGAAAAACCTGAAACTGGTTCAACGGACTTCATGCTTCGCTTTATGTCAGATTGTGGTTGTCTCTGCACTTAAGCCATTGCAGTGTTTCTGGGGCCCAACTTCCCCCTAACCCGTGTTAAGATACAGTGAACGGAACCGGTCCGGTAAAGGAATAAGGGTGAAGCAAAAACCTTGACAATTGGAATGGTGTCTTGGGGGGATACAGAAACGAACAAATCATACGGAGAATAGTCGGTGATACCCTTTCCCAGACTTTCCCCCAGGATCCAAAACAGTAGATCCCTTAAGGGGGCTCTTGTAAAGTCCTCTGTAGTCGCTCTAATCGTTATGGTCTCAGAAATAAGGGATTTGCTTTCTAGATCCTCCCGGCTAGCACCCTTCTGGCCTGCTCGCAATGGACGTCCAACGTCAACATCGCCTCCGAAATCCGCGAGAAGCCCTTTCCTCGCATTGGCATGGCAACCCTAAACCCTAAACCCCTGAACCCTAAAACCCTAAACCCATAAACCCATAAACCCCTAAACCCCTAAACCCCTAACCAACCCCTAAACCCTAAAGTTTCTGACGGGGGGGGGGGGGGGTTCGGATGTAGAGGCTCGGGTTTGAGGCTTCGGGACGGGGGATGGGAATCCTGCCAGACTACTGCTCAGGGTTTAGGCTTTAGGATTTAGGGGTTTTGGAGGTTTTAGGCTTTAGGATTTAGGGGTTTTGGAGGTTTAGGCTTTAGGATTTAATGGTTTTAGAGGTTTAGGTTTAGGGTTTAGGGCCCAGGGGTTTCAGGGTTTGGGGTTTACGTTGTGTGCAAACGAGTCTAGTAAAATCTCAGCCCATTCCACTGCTTCGGAGCACTCCTCAGATCACTGATGAGTCGAGGCTTACGGTTTGTAGACTTCCCTTTGCAAGTTCTCCAAACTTGGGTCCCTTTTACATAGTACGGCACCATTTGAAAAAAGGACTCTACGTAACTTTGAGAACTACTCATCTGGGAGTTTCCGAAAATAGGGGATCCAAATAGAGCCTCCAAAATAGTGGGATCCTCACTATAAGCACCCGCAAAATGCGGTACCCCTAAGTTTCGGAAACCCCCATATCAACCTCAAGTTCGGTCAGTGATGGTGGCTTCCGGAACACAATGAGAGTCCAAAATCCGGTAATGGGGAATACAATACTGAACTTAGACCCCAAGCAAAAATTTTCATTTTAGTTGTTTCTTAAGGATTAGAGGAACCAAAGATTAAAGAATATTTCTAAGTACCCCTAAGAATAGGGTTCTTATGATAACTTGAAGAACAATGCTTAACTACGAGGTTTTGGAGTCTCCGAACGCAAGCCGCTTCGGCGAGCCAAGGCACGCAGAAGGCAATATCTGCACGCTTCCTGCAGGGACCAGGGTTTAGGGACCAGAGGTCCATGCTGTAGTTTGCTCAACCTGAAAATCAGAATTCTGATTCCGGGTGTGTACTGTAGGGGCCTTAATAGTTAGAACAGGGGTTTTGGGGCCATCAGCCTATAGTACAACATGGGCAACAGTGCTACTATACATGTCTGTACCACAAAAGTTACAACCACCACATGGACTCTCGACTTGACGTGGGGCTTCCTACCAGGTTAGGGGTGCTCTGCTCCGGGGTCGTTACGACAGGGTTTAGGGTTTAGGGTTTCGGCAAGCTGCAAGGTGTTTCCCACTCTACTCTTCTCGGGAGGTAAGTAGGGAACCATGTGTGTAGACCCTTTTATGTACAAAAGCTCTGGAGCAGAACCCCAAACTCTGAAAACATATCCTGGGTCCTAAGCACGAGCAACGGATATTCAAGAAAAGCAAAGGCTACAAGCTTGATAGTATCTCTGCACTGAGTTGTGGCGATGATGCAAGTGATAAAGAAGAGACCCTAATACTCCTCTTACATCTAAACGGGAAGGGCATGCTTTTCCTATCTTCCAGTTCTTCATAAACCCTACATAAAACCCTAAACCCCAAGCTCTCGAAATGCGACTGGTAAATGGGACTTTGATAGTGCTGCCACCAGAGCCCGCAGTCGATCAATATCCTCACACCCTCTCACACTTACGCGTCGACTTCGACAGTCCCCAAAATCATGTAAATTACTAAAAGGATCATGGGACTTAGTAACTAGGGCTATAATTAAGGTAACTATACTTATAATAACTTATACCCCCAATTAAGGTACTTATAACCCTACTTACTAAGTCCCATGACCCTCCAAGTAGGGCTCTAAATTAAAGAACACGGGACATTGCAAAGTATCCCAAATCGATACCTATGGCACGCATTTCGGTACCTGTCCTTGGTTGCCACCATAACCTGCGGATCAGTGCAGGGTCTACCTGGGGATCTCAAAACCTACGGTTTTGGGGGTTACACCTTATAAATTAAGGGGTCATGACCTGCAAATTTCGTGGGGTTTGGGGATACAGGTAGAGTCGATGGTGCGCTTTGCAATGCCATGAGCGAGATTTACTACCTGGAACCCCTGAAAAATCTAGACACCAATGTACATCAACATGCTGACCGGCTTTAGGGTTTAGGGGTTTACGGGTTTAGGGTTTAGGGGTTTAGGGGTTTAGGGTTTTGGGGCTTGCGGTTTAGGGTGGAAACTCAAGCTCTATGCTCTAGACTCTACACGCTCTACACCCAAACGAAAACAAAAACGCACAACAACCCTACATCCGAGTTTAGGAAATCATGTCAACCTGCAGCCACTACAATCTAAAGTCCTGTCATCCAATAGCCGAGCCCTCACGTTCAAGTCCTCAGCTCTAGGCCATGACCAGCTTGGTTCAACACACAAGTCTAAAGACCCACTGAAATCAGACCGTCCAAATCCCACAGTAGAGCAGTTCCAAACTGCTGAAACTAAAAGTCCTAGAGCCACCCTATGCTAAAATCCAAAACAAACCGTGACTCCGGATCCTGAGCTATGCATTTACCATCCACTCCAGAAACCAGACATTCCATATGCCTTACCATTATGGAAGTAGGCCCTAAAATACCCATCCTCGTTATGGTTTTTGGGCCTAGTTCCATGGTATTGTACATGCACCCTTTTCCCAGACCACCGAAAAATCTAGCAAGTGGATAAGCATTGAAACCCCTAATCCCTCTTGGAAACCGTTTAAAATGGTCCCAAGCCCTAAACCCCAAAACCCCGAAACCCTTACAGATGCCTTTTCGGAACCCTTAAACTGGGCTTTTAAGTAACCAGGGAGACAAAAGCATAAACTTGTATTTCATAAGGCCTCCTTTAAGAAAAAAGTATTAAAGTATGATACTCCAAAGCCCAGCAAAGGAACTCCTATCAAGGAATAAACCATAATACCCATAGTCTAGGGTCCTTAAGGTAATGCAGGGTTTACAGCATCAACCGTATTAAGGGATTTTTGGAATGGTCCGACCTGGCCCGACATCGGCCCGTATGGGCTGGCACCCGTCACGGCAGTGCCATCCTTTCTGAAGCGCAGGGGTTGGGGTTTAGGGTCAAGCCTTCAGAGTTTAAAGTTTAGGGTTTAGAGTTTAAGGTTTAGAGTTTAGATTTTAAGGTTTTGGGCTTAGGGTTTAGGGAAAACTTCGAGTCCGAGTCCTAGGCTTGAGATGATGGTGTTGCTTAGCGACCCTACCTACCCAGTCTGCTTACCTTACAAGTCGTGTGTGCTGTCCTGCTTTTCCAGGCTTGTGTGTGTGTGTGTTTTGCCATGGTGCTCAGGACTTACCCGAAGGGTCCAAGTGCCCAAATAGTAGGGCTTCAAGGTCCAAAAGGATTTTTGGCATCTAAAACCCTAAGAAATTTCGGTACTTGGACCCACTGGGTTAGGATTCAGGGTTTAAGGTTTCGGAATCGAGGCTTGGGGTGTCGGCTCATGGCACCCTCATACCTTCAGTCCCTTTAAACCCCGTGCCCTGAAGCCTAAACCCTGAAACCATTAGTCCTACACCCCAAACCTAAAGCCTAAACCCTACAACTGAACCCTAAGACCTCAAACCCTAAATCCCTAAACCTTTACACCATGTCATTTTCAGCCCAGGATACAAAGACAGAATCAAGTCTCGAAGTCCAAGAACAGAGGCCACCCACGACAGAATTGGTTCGACATGGTCTCCAAACAGGCAATTAAATTGGCTGAAAGTTTTGACCACTCCGCTCGGACTCAGGATTGTCTCGGTGTAAAACACCTCACACATAAACACGAAAGCTTTCGCTCGCATCTGCCGGAATGCGCCGACGCGCAACGCTGAATCGTTTAAGCTTCTCAGCAGAAGTGTGGCCTGGCGCATGGCGGACTTAGAAAACCCCTTAAACCCTAAACCCTGCACCTAAACCCCTGAACCCTGAACCCTAAACCCTAAACCCCAAAACCCTGAAACCCTAAGCTCTGAACCCGCCGAAAAAAGGCTCCTCGTCGTGGGTCTGTGCGGCACCCTGCGCGGCGTGGATGACGAAGGCGACACCCCGGAGAGGCTCCTGCCATGCTTCTTTCGACTCTAGGGTTTAGTTTTTTTTTTTAAGTGCAATGGGGCCTTTTCAGGGTTATCACAGAGTTTAGGGTTTAGGGTTTGGGGTTTGGGGTTTGGGGTCTAGGGTTTAGGGTTTAGGTAGGGTTTAGGGTTTAGGGTTTAAGGGTTTAGCGGTTTAGGGGTTTAGGTTTAGAGTTTTCTATTTCGGGTTCAAGGGTTTAGCGGTTTAGGGGTTTAGGGGTTTGGAGTTTAAGGTATGGTGTTTGAGATTTGAGAGTGTATTCTGTAAGCCCAGAGACTCCAAAACCCCTTAACTAAGGAATAGACCTTAAGTCATAGTAGTCAGCCAAGTATTCGTCAATTAAGGGGTTTTGGGCTCTGTGGGAAATGCACTGACTCATAGTCTTTCTTATTCCAAAGTAGGTTATGGACTATGGAAGATATCATTGGTGCAGCTATGCAGTCATCTAGGCATGTAAGCATATATGCAACCGCGCATGCATGTGGATGGATTGATGGATGGATGGATGGATGGACGGAGGGATGGATGGATGGATGGATGGATGGCTCGCTGGCTGGCTCGCTGGCTGGCTGGCTGGCTGGCTGGATGCATGCATGCATGCATGGATGGATGGATGGATGGATGGATATTCTCCATCTGTATGTATATACAGATACACATGTATGCATATGCACATGGAACTTATACATGATGTAATTATATGTAGATGTAGATGTATATGCATGTGTAAAGGTTTATTTATGTTTATTCTCTCTCGCTCTCTCTGCATGCATATCTGCCTGTGCATGTTCCAGAGAAAATGCAATGCTGAAAATGTATAACTAGATATTGTAATATGAACACCACGTAGGGCTCGTTGTTTCATGTACAATGTATGAATGTACGGACCTATAAGTCTGGAAGCCTATCAATCTACGAGTACCTAAATAGCGTCAACTAGTGGAGCCAAAAACTAAAACACTCACCGAACTCTTCCGATAAATCCAAAACAATGAAACGAGCCCTTCAACTCCGCTCCATCTGTGCATCTGCAAGGGCTCCTCGCAGAGGGGCCCTGCCGAGCTCGCCAGCTGAAAGCCTCAATCGTGCTGAGAGGGCATCGTTTAAGGTTTAGGGTTTCGGTGTGTGAGGAAGTGGCTTTAGGATTGAGGATTTCAAGGTTTCGCGGTAGAAATTCCCAGAGTAAAGATGTACTTGAGGCTTGGAGCTGGGGTTTTGCAGTCAAGCGCCACGGGTGAACCGAGAACTGTCGCATGATTGTGGCAGTGCTTATCGACAAGGTGGCTCTGTAGGCCTCGCCGGAATCACAACCCTCAACCTCAATACCTTGGGCTCTTTTAACGGTGTCCATCATCACCGCCGGTCCTTATCGGAGCGATCTTGCTTCTTTTGGAGCTCGTTGAGTCCCGTCTTGCATCCCCTGATAAGTTCCGCCATGCTAAATCCGAGAGATTGAGACCTTGCTTGCCATCCGAAGCCCAAAGCCAACATCACTACTCGAGGGGCCGTTGGTGTTCGGGTTTCTGGAGGTTTAGGCACTGGGTCTACAGTCTAATTATATCGGCTTCTTCGCAACTAAACACTGATTTGAAATAACTATAACCTTAAAGAGTTTCAGATTCGCATCAACGTGAACCTAAACCCTAAACCCGTAAACCCCAAACCCAAGCTCTCACTCAAAGTCCTGGTGTGGAGTTTCCCGTGGTCTAGAACTTGAAGTAACCAGGGAAACAAGTATAGACCTTCACTTAAAAATGGCTCCCTTAAGGAACTTCAAAACTGGTACCTAAAACTTGGATGGTATCCCAGATACCGTTGGGATCTCCCCTTTTCGCAGAAAGGTATATGAGACGACCATCCGGCGAGGCCGGGGGGCCGGGTTCGTTGAAATCCAAAACCTTATTGATTCGTAAGTGTTACCAATATTGGTAGTTACCAATAGTGTTACTGTAATTGCAATTATTGTTATTGTTATTCTGCGTATTCGCAGTAGAAATCAAAATCTATTGTTGTTGTCAACCATGACTGTATCACTAATAACTAAGTAAGTTGTTCGTGATGCCATCATGATTAATGGTGCGGTCATCACTAATCATAACCATGTGGTCATTGATAGAGTTGAAAGATAAAGCCCAATGTTCTGTTTCCTGTAACCCAGAAACTGCTACAGAGGCTGCAGACTTCTAGGGCTTGTTGCTGCCAATGAAGCCACTGAGAATATTCGGACGCATCCATAGGGGTACCTCCTTGCAGACGGGGGCGTCAGAGTCAGAACAACGGATCTGAAAAGTGTGGTTCCTGAAAATCACGGTAGCTTCCTGAGGGATCGTTTGCAACTAAGGGTTCTGCTGTTGAAGCTTGATGTTAGGGTGCCTCACTAAGGTATGCCTAACAGTTGGACTGGTGTTCCGGGGTATTTTATTCCAAAACTGTATGAGGATAGTCAAAATTATGGTCCTTTTTTTGGGTACCCTAAATATTTGGTGCCGTATGATATTAGGGATCCAAAACGGGACCATAATTTTGACAACCACCCATGAGCCTACAAAAGAGTCAGGACTCCCAAGTTTAGGATGCCCAGTAACCTAGGAATAAAAAGGGCTCCCTTTTTGATATTGGGCAACTTCATAGGGAACCTAGGACTACTAAAAGGGAATAAGGGTACTACTGGGCATCCTAGAAGAGCTCTAGCTTCCTAGGTGAAGCCTTCGAGCAAGAAAGCAACAAAGCCACACGGGCTGTCGACTATCTGAGCCTCACCAATCTTAGAACAGGGCTTCGAGGTACATAACATGCGGGAGTTTCCGAAAATAGGGGACCCTAACATGGTACCCGAAATCGCAGGATCCTTATTCTAAAGGCCCCAAAATATGGTAACCCCTGGTTTCGGAAGCTCCCAATACCGGGACTCAGGGACTGCAAGTGTAAGGGGATGCATGGATGAAAGCTGGCCAGGTTGAGATGGACACCAAACAGTGCTTAAAGGGTCATGGGACTTAGTAAGTGGGGTTATAAGTACCTTGATTAGGGTTATAAGTAAGTACAAGTGTAGTTACCTTCATTATAACCCTAGCTGCTAAGTCCCATGACCCTTTAAGTGTTGAGGCCTCTTTAACTTTCCTGTCACAGGTTCAAGGTCGAAGCTGGTCTGGAGCACAGAGGCTCCGAAGTAGTTCCGTTTTGGGGTTCATATATAGAAACCTATAAGGTAATCCCAAAAAGAACTACTATGGAGCCTATGGGTAGCAGTGAACCTAGGCTAAACATCAAATGTTTCGCGAAACTTGGAACACAATACATCAGAATCCTAAACTCTGCAAGCGCTGATCTCATCACTGAACCCCGAAACTCCAAGCCCTAAGCCCAAAACCCCGAACCCCGAAACCCAACTAAGCTAAACCAGAGATCCCTGGAAAACCGCAAAAGCCCTCTACAACCGAATAAACATGCTATGAAGCCTGTGAACAATTGACCCGCAGACTCCGGATTTCTAAATGAGCCCACAGCCTTCATCCTTATAAGCCCTAGAACACTACACCCCCATCCCCGACCCAAAACCCAAAACCCCCACTCCTGAACCCCTATAAACCCTAAACCCTAAACCCTAAATGCAAAACCCAAAAGCCCCTAACCCCTCGAAACACTATAAACTATAAACCCTAAACCCAATACCCGTAAACCCAAAACCCAACCCTACACCCTAACCCCTAAACCCCTAAACTCTAAACCCCAAGCCCTATTACCGTAAGCCCCCAAACCCAACCCTACACCCTAACCCCTAAACCCCTAAACTCTAAACCCCAAGCCCTATACCCTAACCCTACACCCTAAACCTAATTTTGAACCCTAAAGCCCTAAATCCTAACCCCTAAACCTAGTTTTAAACCCTAAAGCCCTAAACCCTAAAGCCCTAAACCTAATTTTCAAACCCTATAGCCCTAAACCCTAACCCCTAAACCTAATTTTTTTACCCTAAAGCCCTAAATCCTAACCCCTAAACCTAATTTTTAAACCCTAAAGCTCTAAACCCTAAACCTAATTTTAAGCCCTAAAGCTCTAAACCCTAAACCTAATTTTAAACCCTAAAGCCCTAAACCCTACACCCTGAGCCGTTGGATCGCCTGCCCCGGCTGGGACTGTGCAGGATCCCACGTCGAGTCGTAGGATTCCTGTTCGTCAATACTATACTGAGCAGGGTTCTATGAGGGTTCCTTTAAAGGGATCTATAAGGGGTTTTAGGGTTTAGGAGTCCTATACTGAACTTAGAACCCTAGCAAAAATGGTAGTTTTAGCTGTTTCTTAGGGATTATAGTAACCAAAAACTAGAAATTATTTCTAAGTACCACTAAGAAGACTCTACGCTAGGGTTAAGGGTTTAGGGATGCTTAGGGTTTAGACGAGGCGTCGATTTCAACACCCCCCCCCCCAAATACATAATTAGGACTCTATAAATTAAACGATCGGGGAAATTAACAAGTAAGTATCCCAAACCGATACCTACTGTACAGGTTTCCCTTAGCGAACAACAGATCCAGTAAGTAGAAACTCGAGTTTCGGGTAGCAATTATGTAGGCGAGTATATGGGAGAGTACATTATTATTAAGTACTTGGACCCCTGAAGCAAATAGTTTTCGCACACTCAGAGAGCAGGTTCCGTGCGTATACCGGCCTTGATCATTGGATCGCTTCTTTCGCGAGGGGAGCGGACATAAATATATTATAGTGTGGCTATATCAAGGAATTTAATCAACTCTGTGGGTCACGCAATAGGTTCCTTGGCTTGAGGAGAGGCCACTGAGCTGATATGCAAGCGTCAGAAGAAACCTTGCTTATTTAGGGTCGGGTCCTGAATAAGGCTTCTTGGTATACTGCACAAGCCCTTTTACAGGTAGGGTATGTTGGAGTTGGGGTAAGCCTTCAACCTTCGCCTCCAAATCATTTGCCAAACCTCCTTAAAGACTAAAAAATGCCTGAGCCCTGACACCACCACCAAAGGAAACATCGTGGCCTGGAGCTTCCAGCCGACACCTGAGCCATCCATCCTGAGCTCACCGGAGAACAAGTTGCAGCATGTAGTATTTAGGATTTGAAGGTTTAGAGGGGTAGTGTAGGCGCCTGAATAATACCCCACGTATTTCAAGGCTTCAACAACAGAATCCCTATGGCCCTATGGTATTCCCTGCTCAGGTAGGGCGGTTTATTCAAGGGTTTCGACTATTGCCAGAACGATGATTTCCGCAGGTGTTTTGCTATCAGTACTGCAGTAATGTTGTTGATGATTCTTCACTGTTCACACCTTAACTATTTGGCACACTGCTGGTGTTGGAAGCTTCTTTACTTTCGCGGATGCTGGCACTAGTATAGTAGCCGTCCTAGCAGAAGGAACGGTAGTTGCGACGAGTGGCACTGATGTCGGCGGCAGTGGCGATGGTGGTGGCGGTGGTGGTGGCGGCAGCAACAGCGACGGCAATACAGGTAGCAGCAATGGTGGAAGCAGAGTGGAAGCATGAGTCGTAGCAGCAGCAAAGGAGGAGGAACAAACTGCAGCAACGGGGACTGCAGTCCAAATGGTACAAAGAGATGACTCAGATTGCAGCCCAGGGATGGCTGGGGCGAACGAGGGTGCATCGTCTGGGTATATACCAAACACCCTAAGCCCCAGTATAGTGGCCTTAATCATTAGAATAGGGTTTTTGGGGCCTTTAAGTTTAATACTCTCATTCTAATAGGAAACCCCAAAATCGTATAGGTATAGGCCAGTATAGGTAATTATTTAGGCCCCAATTCCTATGCCCGAAGCCTGGGCTTCCCAGCAATTCATGTTTCAGCTGCGATACAGACGTGAAGCCTCCAAACTCTGAACCCTGAACGCTAGGCTCTGAACCCAAAGCACGAAACCCTAAACCTTAAACCAAAACCTCTCTCTCTTTCCGGATTTAAACCCCAATGAATTCAAGCCTAACCGGTGGGCAGGGTTTAGGTCTAAACTCTGTAATCCGAAAAGCACCTCCATCCAGAGACGCATCCCCGGACTTCGAAGTCTGGGACCCCTACTTGGAGGGTCGTGGGACTTAGTAAGTAGGGTTACAAGTACCTGAATTGGAGTTATAAGTACTTAGAAGTATAGCTACCTTACATATAAACCTAGTTGCTAAGTCCCATGATCCTTTAAGCAAGAGGGACTCATGGATGGCCCGTGGTTGTGGCATGGGCGGCTTTTTGGAATCTAACTTCGGGGTTCATGGTGTACCTGTAAGGTTTTCGGTGGCGAGAACCAAAAGCGGAATAATGGAGCAACTAAGCTGCGGTGAGCAGCGGCTGTATACCGTAGAAAAATAAGATGTCTTATTTATGACCCCTAAGGAAGGTAATCAATTTCTCATTAGACCCCATGTTAATTACTATGGAGTCACAGAGATTTTGCCCGCGTCATCTCAACCCCAAACACCAAACCCGGACCAAACCCTGTACGAATACTAAACCATCCCAGCATCAGAAGCGTCCGACTTCCCCGCACCACACTCATCCCGCAGAGGGAGATATCACAGCCGTTGCCTCATTTGGGGGTTTAGGGGTTTCTTCGTTCGTTTAATTTTCCTGAAACCTAAACTCCCCAACAAATCCGGGGTATAGGGGCTTTTCGGCGGTTTAGGTTTCCTGAACCCTAAAAATTACCCTAAACCTGGAAGCCTTCACCCTAGATCTGGCAGCCTACCTGGAGGATCGTGGGACTTAGTAACTAAGGTTATAAGTACCTTAATTGGGCTTAGAAGTATTTATAAGTACAGTTACCTTAGTTATGACCCTAGTCACCACCCTTTAAGTACCCTAACCCTCCCCCCTTTATAGAATCCTCATAGATCCCTTTAAAGGAGCCCTTATTATAGAACCCTTATAGATCCCTTTAAAGGAACCCCAAGCCCCCTCATCCTCAAGCATGTACTCATATGGGTGGTTGTCTAAAGCATGGTCCCTTTTTGGGTCCCCGATATTATGATATAATACGGCATCTACTATTTAGGGCACTCAAAAAGGGGCCTTAATCTTGACACCTACCCATATAAATGTACATTTGCCATTGCCTTAAAAGTAATCCTTCTGGACACTTAGGGTTTACGTGGATTTCCGCGAATCATCATGCGTAGCTGCATGCTCCAGCTTACGTACTTTGCTCTAAGCCCGTGAGCACTGAGGGTCTCAAGCCAATGGCTCAAGGCTTCCAGCTTGGGTTTGGGGTTCAGGGCTTTGGGGTTTAGGGGTTCAGGGTGTAGGGTTTCGGGATGAATGGCTTGGGATTTAGGTTTAGGCTTTCGGGGTTTTAGAGCTTAGTGTTGGGAAGCTTCGGGGTCAGGGTAAAATGTGCCAGCTTCTCGTCGCGATAGTACGATGCACTCCACATAGCCTTGTCGCAGGATACTCCCACCTGCGCCCCAGTTTCATGGCAGACCCTCCACCCTAAACCCTTAATTCCTAAGAACCCTAAACCTTAAGCCCTAAATCCTTGAATCCTACAAACTCTCATGACTGCTTCATCGCGGCACATATCTCCAATAATCCCTTATAGTGTCGGAGTGATACATATACATATACATATACACATACATATACATATACATATACATACACATATATATATATATATATATATATGTATGTGTGTATACATAACCCACAAGCCCCAAACCGTAAACCCTAAACCCTATACCCCAAACCCTAATCCCCTGCTGCATCGGGCCGGGCTACATATCCGGAAGCTCGTGTCCTCCACCTGCTCTTGAAGCATCCTCCAGACTCGCGGCTACTCGGGGGGTTTAGTGGTTCCTTTAAGCGGATTTATAAGGATCTATGAGGGGTTCAACGGGGGTTTAGGGCTTTGGGTCTTCAAGGCTTAGGGCTTTACGGCTTTACGGCTTTAGGGCTTTAGAGCCTTACGGCTTTAGGGTTTTAGGGTTCGGGGCTCCAGGTTTTGGGCTTAAGGGCTTCAGGGCGTCAGTGTTTCGGGTATGCAGTGAAGCTGCTACTTGCATAGCAAAGGAGGGAAGCTTTTCACGCCTGTAGGGCCAGGGATCCAAACCGAGGTAACCTGCCGGTTAGAGTTTTAGGGTTCAGGGTCTAGGGTTTAGGTAGCTATAAGTTGTGTTGCAGCCACTCGCACCGCAGAAAAAAAAGCTTTTCAGTATGTTTTTGCCCTAGCTATAAGGACAAGCCCCAAGGAATAGTAGCGCTACAACCCCATAACATACATATTGTTCATAGGCTACAGGCAAAAAAGCTCTAAGGAGCAGCAGTACCAAAGTACTGGACACTAAACCCTAACCCCTCAACCTTAACCCCTAACCCCTATCCCCGAAACCCTAAACCACTAAAACTATAACTACTTATTCGCCTTGGCCCCGGCCGAATCGGTCAGAGGTTCCTATTCGGATTCTCCTATTCCCCAACTCTTCAAAATCGTGCCCCCCCCCCCCCCTGAAAAATGGAAACGTGTCGATGAGCCCCAAGGTCAGGCGGTGAATCGCCTTCTCCAGTGGATTTTGGCTTTCTGTAGGCAGTCCCACCCAATTTTCTTCACTTCCTCCCTCCCTCCCCCCCTCTCCCCCTCCCCCCCACCTCCCCCCCCTCCCCCCCTCCCCCCCCTCCCGCCCCCCCCACTCCCTTCCCTCCCGCCCCTCCTCCGCTCGCTGACAGGTGCGAGCTTTCTGGAGTTTTCGACGACACGGGACTGCAATGTAGCATCTTTATGTGCGTCTCAGGCTTGTTTTAGACGCCCTTTCGTTGGGATAGGCGGAGTAACGTGGTTGAAAAGGCTGTGATGCTTCCCTAATCCAAGACGCACAGCCTCAACGGCCCATACTTAAGGCATCCCGCCGCTTGCGAGAGTCTTGGTATCCAGTGTTTCGGAATGACGACACCAAAATTGGTACTGATACTACCACTACTAATACTACTCACAATCATCCTGCTTCGTGTTGCTATGAACATTACTTTTACTATAAGTGCGATTCCAACTTTTATACTTTTTCCTATAAGAGCTTGCTGCAGATAGTAGCCACTCGCCGCATGCACGTACAGCCGGGCTGAGGCGGACGATGCGCAGCGTTTCAATAACCCCAATTAAGGTACTTGTAACGTTACTTATTAAGTCCCACGATCCTCCAAGTACTTCTTATCCAACTGTAAATATAACTTTAAGCATGATAGTTGCCCAGGTTGTGATTGGGGCAAAACCTAAACCCCTAACCATATACCCTAAGGTCTAAAGAAGTACTGCCGGCCCCGAGGGAGTTCCTGCTTAGCATCTCTGGCTCCTAGCAATACTCTCCTACTTGTCGGGTATCATGTGGAACTAAAGGTTAACCTTTTTAGTTTTATAGGGCTTATATAGGGACTATACTACCCAAAAATAGTTAAAGGTTACCTACTCGACTACTAGGCTCTAAATCGCAGACGGTCCTCCGCCCAAGCCCAGAACACCCAAAACCTTCTAAAATCCGTATAGAACGCCAGCACTGCAAACTCTGAGGCCCCGATATGCAATCCCTCACAACCGCAAACCCTAAACCTCAAACCCGTAAAGCCCTGAACCCGAAAAACCCTCAAGCCCCAAACCCTGAGCCCCAGAGTCCCTCATACACCCCTTTTTTTCGGAACTTTACATGAACTGAGCCTGAACTAAACCCTAAACCCTAAAGACCTCGCAAGTAGCTGAGCCTGTACTAGACCCCAAACCCCAAACCCATCAAAAGTAACGGAGCCTGAACTAGACCCTAAACCCCTCTATAAACCACAAAAGTAACAGAGCCTGATAAGCCCTAAACCCCTTTAACGGAACCCAAAAGTAACTGAGCCTGAACTGCGTCTCCACCTCATTGAGGCAACCAAGCAGAGACCCGTCGGAGGATCCTCGGAGGATCTTTAGGGGTTCCTTTAAGGCTGTAACGGTTTACCTTGGGTACTGCCCCCCATACAGCAACAGTCTATAATAGGGCTACTATTTAAGGTCCCAATATATCTATACTATGAATATCATTCAACTGTTACGGGGCGGGGCTGTACCCCAAGGTTTACCTACAGTTTCCATTACAGTTGCTCTTGGGTTTGATGAGGGTTCCGTTAGGGGTGTAACGGGTTTCGTATTTCGGGTTTCGCGTTTGGGGTTTCAGATTAGGGTTGAGGGTTTCGGGTTTATCGCTTGATAAGGGTTTCTAGAAGGAGGGTTGTTCCTATGCGCGGTCTAGATAGATTCGAAGATTTAGGTGTTGGGAATTGGGGATTGGCGCGCCCGAAACAATATGCGCCTTGGCCCAAAGACATCCGGAAACAATGGTTCATCAACTCTATTTGCTTGATGCATCCATGGACTGAGCATGACGGTAAAGAGTATGCAGGGTTATGAGTAGGATAGCCGCACTGAAGGCACTGACAGTCTCAGTTACAACCTATACTTACCAAGCCTCACGGTCATGATCGTAAACTTTGAGCTCTAACTGAATCCAAAACCGAACAAAACCCTAAACCCTCTAACAACTGAACACCGCAAAGCCCTATCGAAGTCGCCTGATCTTCTGGGATCGGGTAAACCCCTCCCGTGCCCTGCCTGCCAGCTCGACGGATGCCTGAGAGCTTGGGCATAGGGTTTATAAGGCTTATATAAAGTTTCGCGAGCTTACGGGGTCCAGGTTATGAGTGGCTTTAAGCCTTGGGTTCTGCTTTGAGGGTGTTAGATAGGGCTTCAATAACACTGTATTGTAGTGCGGTTTTGATGACATACAACCAGAAACATTAAGACAAGGAAAAACAGTTAAGTGTCCAGGACCTCAACCCACGTAGACTAAAGCTTCAAGATTGAAGCCCTCAAGCCTTAACCCGGGAGATTAAACCCGCACCTAAACTCCCGAGGCCTCAAAATTTAACCCAAAACGATTTCCAAACTCCGGCATCCCTAAGCCCCCTTACAATGAACCCCTAAACCCCAAAGCCCAGCCTGCTGTCGGTGTATGACCGCTTCCAAAGCCTCCGCCTTGTTATCCATCCACTCGAGCACACCTTGATGTAGGGGCTTCCATGCTAAGGCTTTCCGGGTTCAGGGTTTGTAGGGTTCAAGCGTTGCAGGTTTAGGGTTTCGTAGTTATTCCTAACTTTGCTGTTCACGCCAGGTGTTTTGTAGGGTATCACAGTGTTTTCTAAAGTCGTTAGTTTCAGTTGTTAATGTTGTCTAGGGCATTCGTTCTCTGAAGCACTTTACAATTACAATGTGTGTCTAAATAGGTGTTCGAGGTTTAGAACAGTAGAAGTTTTGCGCGGTTTGAGGAATTTGAAGCGGGCATCCATACGGCCCTTATCAGAATCTGATCCTGAATCCCACTTGTTGCTTTTGCTTAAAAATACTATTCGCCTACGGCACCGGGCTCCATCAGGATATGGGGGTTGGCGGCCGATCGGGTTTCAGGGCCTTGGATGACACAAATTGTGTTTAGGGCTTGTCTATGGGTTTGCAAGCAAATCAGCTTGAGCTGGTTTTATATGTATACTTGGAGGATCATGGGACTCAGCACGTAAGGTTATGAGTACCTTAAGCGAGGTTATAAGTGGGCATAAGTATACTTACCTTAAGTATAACCCTAGTGTCTAAGTCCCATGACCCTTTAAGTTTGGGCTCCATAAAGTCCTGGCAAGCCGAGACACCAAAGCCCAAACCAAACCCAAGAGAATTGACTCATGATCCCGGGCGGTTACCCTAAACGCTAGACCCTAAACCGTGCTCAATTTATAACCTCTTTTCATAGAACATTGGTACAGTGAGGGTCTAAACCCTAAGCATGTCAAGGCTCTGTCGGGTAGGACCACAGCGCTGATCTTGATGCTAGCTTTTCGGTTAGCCGTCCACACCTGATACGGCTTAGAGTTTAGGGTTAAGGGTTTGTGGTTTAGAATTGAGGGCTTGAGGGATTGAAACGAGGGTTCAGGGTTGCCAGCATCGGATTTAGGGTTTAGGGTAGGGGGTCCCTGACGAAGGCATTGTTCTGGGATTGGGGCCGAGCCGTAGGGTTTTTAGGCTTTAGCGCTCAGAGTCTCAGGAGACCGCTCCTGAAGGGCTCCTTGTTGAGGAAGGTCTCCACGCTCTTAAGATCTCTCTAGGGTTCTGTTAGGGTTTTGTTCCCCTGCCCTCTTTGCTCAGTGAAGGAGGGCGTACTTGTATATTGGGACTCCTGTACTACACCGGAGTTACATGGCAGTATGCGGAAGCAGCAAGCATCCTGAACAACCCACCCTACAACAACGACTCAGAACCCGGGGCCCGAGCTAACCCGAAACCCGATAGCCGTGCAGTGCAGGCGCAAGAAAGCGAAGTCGAGGGCCCTGCAAAATTCGTAGCATAATATGCGAGTGTGAGTCTGCTTATACAGCAAACCCCATAAAGTTGAAAACCGGAATAAGACCAAATAGTGCTGGGATTCCCTGTACATTACTCTTAAGGATCCAGCCTATGAGGTTTCCAACTTTTGGGCTTCTACTGTAGACCAGTAATATATAGGTGCAACAGCTAGACCTCCTGGAAAAGGAAAACCTAGCAGAGAGCGGATCTTGTGCATCGAGAGCTCCTTCTGCTTGGCTTGGCAGCATTGCACGCACAAGCAGAAGAAAGAAAGGGAAGGTAATTAACACAAGATGTTTTATGCCCTAAGCCCTAAAGTCTAAACCCAGCAAAAGCCGCAGCCGTGTGCCTGGCTACAAACCACACCCTTAGTTGCTAGCAAGGTGTCGGTCATCACAGCCGTCGGGGACATAGAGATGCGCTCATGCTGCACCGGAGCATCCTCAAACAAGCATCCAAGGGTCAGCTTCTGAGGCATCTTCGGACCTTATAACATCGTAAACACGAGTTGGGTTCTTTGCAAGACCAGCCTAAAGTCAATACCGAAACCCGCACAATCTGGGCTTCGAAAAAACAAAGGAGAAAAAGTACATATCTTTCTTTCATCATGGTTCACTGTAAGTAGCAGGTCCCCAAACAAGTATTAAAAACCCTAAACCCTAAATCCTAAACCCTAAAGTATGGTACTCACAAGCCCAGAAATCCCCCGTACTAAGCCAGATACCCTTCCAGGCCGCGGACATTCAACAACAAAAGCTAACGGTTTAGGGTTTTAGGGTTTAGGCCTTAATGATTGGAGTTGGGTTTCAAAGGGCGAAATTTTACCTGTATTTCTTTAGGGCCGAGACGAGCGCGACTACTTTTTAGGCATTTATGCTACAACCTTTGCCGTTCTGCACGAGATTGTAAGCCTCGTAAGTCCCAAACTTTTCGGACGTGAACCCCAACGCTGCGCGGGTCTTAGGGTTCGATGTAGCCTACCTGATTCACGAACTACGCAGACTGAGAGAACATTGCTGTAGGCTTGTATACCCTTTGCTCTAAACTTTGCTACATGTACCCTAAACCCTGCCTTAAATCCTGATCCCTGAACCCAAAACCCTGAACCCTGAGCCTGAACCCCAAACCCTAAAGCCTAGGTTCCCTAGCTAATGAGACTGCTCTAAGTCGCAGAAGCATCATCGCCGCCATCCGAGTGAAGCCTGAGTCCAGTGGGCTTCAATGCTTTGTCTTTCGATATATCATGTAGCATAATACGGTAGATTATAACATACCATAGTGTAGCAGTCTCTACGAAATTACTGAACCTGCGTACACTATATCATACTGTATTATGCTAATACTATACTGCGTGTTCAGGAAGGCTTCATGTTTGGAGCTGCAGTTTAGGGTGTCAGGCTTCCCATGATCCAAGATTGCCTCTGCAACCGAGGCGTTGGGCATAGGGTTTCAGGCTTCCAGCAGCTCGGAGTCTAGAGTTGGGGTTTCTTGCAGAACCGTGGGTCCCCAAAATAAAACCACAAAGGAATAGCATCCTTGTTTGAAGGGCGCCTAAGCAGGTATCCCTCCCTTGTAGAAGATGCCTCAGGATTCTGAGCCGTTATCAGATTCGCACAGGGTCCAAAGTACCTGCATAGCAGAAAGTACGGCTTCTATCGGAACTATGTACAGTTTGGGTAGGTATACCCCATATAGGTACTTAGGACCCTTGGGATTGTAGGAAAAGCCCTGCCCACATCCACGACACTGTACGCGAACATGCGGCCACACATTACAACCCCGATCCCGGAAACCCAGAAGCAAGTGAGAAACTGCAGATTCGATCGGCAGACCCACGCATTCCAACAGGAAACCTTAAACCCCAACCCTAAACCCTAAACCCCGGGGAACCTGCTAGTTGAGTCTGGAGCCACCCCAGCTTGGAATTCGCCAAACACGTTGCGACACGGGTTCTTGTAAAATCTATGTGGGCCAATAGTAGTCCGATTGAATGAGAACGGCTCGACAGCCACATTTCATTCCGGGCTCGACACCAAAAGTTTCTGGTTCTTAGTCGGGAGTATGATAATTCCCATGACAGTCCCGTAAAGTCCCTTATGGTCGTCCGTTTCCCCCATTCCATGCATTAGAACCAGGGAAACAAGTCCCAAGACTGAACTGGGTAACCAGCAGGAGAACCCTGGCCCTACCTTAACCCTGAACAACCTAGCATTTTAGGGTTCCTTGCTGTGATATCCTTATATGGGTGGTTGTCAAAATTATGGTCCCTTTTTGGGTCCCTATTATAGTACGGCACCTAATATTTAGGGTATCCAAAAAGGGATCATAATTTTGACAACCACCCATATACATCCTTAATTAAATGGGTTGGTTATTCGGGGTTAAGGTAAACCCTAAACCGACCAAAGTACAAAGCTGGAAATGCCTTGAGCCTGCGACCTCCATGTCCCGACCCCTACCGGGACACTGAGGCACCTACCTGTTTACGGCTCCTTTCGGCGATTTCCATTTTTAAAGGTAGGTTACTTCTTCAAAAGGTAGGTTACATGGGTGTTATACCAGGTATGCCGTGCATTGGCCGGAGCGACGCCCTGGATCACACCAGGCCGCCCTGAGAGCACGCTACCGGCTTCGGTGGAGGTGTCCTCAGTAATGCAGAGAGTCCATGATACTATAGGGGCTTTAACGATTAGAATCGGGTTTTGGTGCCTAATATACTATAGTGATACTAAGGAGCCCCAAAGTAGCATTGGTTATTATTCAGGCCCCAATAGTATACTAGCATGTATGGAATTGGGCCCCGGAAGACCATCCCAATAATAATGGGTTTTAGGGATCTAATTCCCAAAAATGGTGTATATGGATTCTTTAGGTAAGCATATCGGGAGGTTTCGGTTGCTCCAGCATCTTGTTTTAGGCCTTCCCCCGCAGGGTCCATGTATCCAAATAGTGTATACGTTGGCATTAGATGATCAGGAGTTTATGACACAGACTGGGTTGAGTTTAGACAGAGCTTCGGTGGGCTTGCATCGATGCCGCTTCGGGTACTTTAAGGTCTGTACAGGGTTTCAGTCACAGCAGCCCACTGTACGCATACACGAGTGGCTTCCAGCGACGGCTCTCGTTAGGCAAATCTTCCAAAAATTGCCCTTGAAACCAGAACCTCAGCACACCCTAAACCCTAAACCTTAAACCATAAACCTTAAACCCTACAAATACGTTCGTCGGCATACTTTTTTCTATTCCGCCGATTCGGCTTAGAATTTTCTTGCGTCGCAAAAAAAAGTAAGTAGCAGTGCACCCTTGAATAGACCGTGGCGCCGGAAAAAGTATGCCGAGATAGATGCTTGGGAAACTCCGATGTTGAATGAGGCAATACCAACATGATGTTTGCTTAGAGATCTGAGTCTGCCCCACTTGAGACATTGATTGATCGAGTCCTTACATAAGGCCTGGGCAAAGGCTGTAGAGTCGTTGCTTACAGATCTGGGAGAGGCTATTGAATCGTTGCTTAAAATTCTGGGAAAAGGCTGTTGAGTCGTTCTTTAAAGGCCTGGGAAGAATCTACACAGTCTGGCTGGGAAAAGGCTATTGAGCCGTTGCTTCAAGTTCGGGAAAAGCTGTTGAGTCGTTCTTCAAAGGGCTGGGATGAATCTACGGAGTCGTTGCAGTCTAGCTGGGAAAAGGCTATTGAGTCGTTGCTTCACAATGTCTACACAAAGCCTGCCTTAAACGTTTGGGAAAGGTTGTTGAGCCCTTGCAAGCAGAAATCCCTCGAACGATCCGGTCGGAATATTCATGCACATGCACTCCAGACTCCAGACTTCAAGAGGTTCGGCGATACTCGGGTGTGATTCGCTCGCCTGCATAGAGCAAGTAACGCTGCAGACACCGCAGCGAGACATACTGGGCACCTGCACGTCTTGAAGCTTTTGCATGCACCCCCACGAAATCTTCATCCATCTGTACCGTGAAGGCGATACAGTTTAATGTCCGGGGGGAAGCCCGAGCTTGGGACTTCAGGTCGATGAGCAGGTGATGGATGTAATGAACCTTCGGAGTGATTGGAAACCGATCGCGGTTCGCTTGGAAAGTCAGATGAACCAGGTGGCCGTAGCACTTCAAAAAGTTCATGACTGTAGATGAAGCATCCAGCGCCTGACGCTGTGTCATCCACAGCCCACTCTTGTATGGCAAACGGATACAGGCATTCAGGTTGGCTACCGCAGTATACGATACGTCCAACCCAAAATGGCATCCTCGGAGGCCATTGAAGCATGCTTCTCACAGAAGTCTTCGAAAATCTCGAGCAGCAACGTTGTATCGCTTGCCTTTTGCCAAGCTCCTTAAGGGCAAAACCCTCAACTCTGAATCCTCGACGCCCTCAACAGGCTTCGGAGTTCGGGAAATTTAACAACCCTCGAGTGCTTTGGGTCCGTCTGGGGGCTTGGGGTTTACGAAAATAACATCAACACCAGAGAAAGGGCAGGGTCCCCAAAACATATACCCTTATAGACCATACATCCCGGATGAATGCTGGAGCACTAAACCCTTAGGATTTCAAGGCTAGAGCCCTGAACAACAGAACCCCAAAGCCAAAGCTCTCAGGCTTCAACCCGAAATTCACATGAAAACTCACAAAACTCTTTTAAAATCCTAGGTACCCGGCATAAAACCGTCACAGCGCACCCGAAAAAGCTTGCAACACCCTTCAATTAAGACCCTTAGAGAACCCCATGGTCGGCCATGGCACCGTCAGGTGCGACATCCAAATCGGTAGCCACAGTACAGAGCCCTTCGGGTCTAGCCTTTCCATAGACACCTCGGCAGTTTAGGCTTTCGAGGTTTCCCAAGCCCGAAAGCTTATAGTCCTCTGGAGGGCATTTGGGTTACATGGAGGGTATGGTTGTGGATTGTCTGCAGGACTTTGTATCGGTTGAAGCACTGTCTGCTACTGTACAGGGGGTCTAGGAAGTAGGAAACTTGAAGGGTGCCTTCCACTAAGGGTCCAAGTACCCAAATAGTAGGGCGTCAAGTTCCCAAACCCATTCAGAGTATGGATTGTGGGACTTAAAACCCTACTATTTGGGTATTTGGACCCTCTGAGTTAGGTCTTAAGAAGATAAGCTTCTGTAGGCTGCTGGGAAAGCTTGATACAGGGCCTTAACAACTAGGTTATACTATACTTGAAATAGAACAAGCAACCTAAGAAATATCATTCCAATCATTGCCTTTCAAACGACCATGTTGCCACATAGGGTCCTGGTACAGGGAGTCCTGCTTGCGTACAAAGGTGTGGGGTGCCTGCTTAATTTAGCCCGCTTATGTTAATAATGCTTTGGGGCCAAAGTATCTACCATATGCGTGGTTGTCAGAATTATGGTCCCTTTGTGGGTGCCTATTACTATTATCATACGGCATCCATTATTTAGATAATTTTGACAACCACCCATTAGGGTACACGGCCCCTCGGGGTAATAACAAAAGTCGGATTTTGAACTGCCTCTTGGCTTCGTGGTGCACATAGGGCCAGACCCGAAACCTCAGATCCTGAAATTCGAACACCTCACCTCAACCCACCAGAACCTCATTTCGGGTAGGGTCCGTGTTACTTCCAGGTTTTGCGAGGTAAGGTACCCAGAAGGTCCATATATACTACAATTACGGAAAACCATGATAGGGACGGTCTTTTGGGACCTAGTTCCGTAATGGTAGTATATATGGACCCTCTGGGGTATATCCTAAAGCTTGATGTCTTTCGCCTCCTGGGCGGTTCTGCCCAGATGCTGACTTTGCTATGGATTCTCGCACGGCAACCAGTGGCGTGGAGACGGAAAATTCCACGTCCCGCGCATAGAGCTTCTGCGGGCAGGGTATAACTTAGCATGTGCGTTGGAATCGGGGTCGCAAGACCCTTTTATGTGGAAACACTTCTCCTACACTCGAAATTTCAAGTGCCTCATAACCACGTTATACGTTGCTACAGGCCGTGCAGCTGCTGTTTAGTTTTACTCCATGCTTTCATCCAGACAACCTCCGAAGGACAACACAGCATGCATAGAAACACAGCCGAAAATTTCAGCTACGGCAGACGACTGTCATCCGAGTCCTTGAACACTTACTTGTCGGGTATCCTGGGGAACTACAGGTTAACCTTTTTGGTTATATAGGGATTTTACAGGGGCTATACTGCCCAAAAAAGGTTAAAGGTTACCTACTCCACTACTAGGAAGAAAGTTGCATGTACATCCAGGATTTTATGCCTTTCCCCGAACTAGCAGACGTTAGGATTTACTACGTTGCTCTGACTGAACCACCCGGTCGCTGCCCCCCTCCATAATCGCTTGCTCCACAGCCTGTACATCATTGAATCAACTCTTAATGCCTGCAGGTCGTGGGTGCAGCGCTTCAAATGCTCGTCCCCGCAGCATCCCAGCACGTTTTCGCCGGTGACCATAGCCTACAGTCAGAAGTTGCAGACTCTAGACTACATCACCACAAGATCATCTGCTTATACAACCACGTTGGTTTCAAGACTTCAGACGGGCATACTGCATGGGCGGGGTTCTCGAAGTGTTCAACTGTTGCTCACATGGCCCTGATTCGCTACAGCAAAAGTACTGGCACAGCCGACTGTTATTGTGCAACCAAAACCCAACGCCCCTACCACCCAAACTTACAGTGACAAGCACTCGGGATGGTGACAACGTTATAAAGCTCGAAAATTGCCCTTGATATGCCCGGTCATCCGCCCGACCCTTTTGCTGAGTTCCCTTCATGTTGAATCACAGAAGAGTTCGGCAAAGATAAGCATGCCCCACCCGAGACAAGGTGACCATGTTTGGGGTCTAGGGTTTCGGAGTTAGGGCCAGTATTTCGCAGTGCTTTGTTTTAGCGGGTTTAGGGTATAGTATGGACCCTCTGTCCGCTATAGTATGTTGCATCAACCAATAAGCATACATATACCATATGAGCTGCAATTCAAAAAATAACTAGGTGACCCCAAGCTAAACCTTCGACCTGGGAGGTCCCTGCTCATGATCACCCCGCACAGGAGCGCCTAGCTCAAGAATCTCTATCCCTATGCGACTAAGCTGTACTTAAAGCTTTAGATCCCTCTATCCCAAGCTCCTCAATTCCAGTGAAGGCCTGGGGAATCCTCATAACACCTTATGAGGAGCGTCGAGGAGAGTAGACGACTCCAGAAAAACCCTTCATAAAATCACTAGGCCCTAAAAATCCCCAAGGCAAAGCCCGACGGGATACCTCGATACTGACGGACGGATCTGCACGATGCAGAAGGCCTTGGATCCGGAACATGGAGGCTTCGTGCATCGCATTTCTCTGGATTATGCGGCCTAGGGTTGAAGTTTTTAAGTTTTAGGGTTTTAGGGTTGAGGTCGGCTTAGGCTTGGGGTTTGAGGGTTTAGGGCTTTAGTCTTGAAGACACTAAGGCTCCAAGTACTCAACTAGCGCCTACCTTGGGCTGTTTCGGGCCCCAAAGCAACGGGCAGCATCGAAAGAACCCCCAAACCAATGTCCAAAAACCCTACATATACCCAAAGCAACCGCCCCAAGGCCGAAACCCAGAGGCAAGTGCCCAAATAGCAGGGTTGCAAGGTCCAAAAACCCATTCAGCGTATGGATTTCAGAACTTGAAAAACCTACTATTCGGTACTTGGACCATCTGGGAAACCGAATGCCGCGGATCGGCGCAAACCCCGCTCAAGAGCTTTCAAGTCCTCGACGCGGTTCGGCTGCCTGGGGCTAGGAGTTCAAGAGGAGGCTCTGAGGCTTAGGATTTTGGGAACGAGGTTGAGCTTGAAATTTACGGTTTCGGCTTTGGGCTGCAGGCTTAGAGTGCAGTGCAGGGATGGTTTGGTATGAGCTGCTATTTCATCTGCGGCCTACAGCCGTTTCAATACCTCAGGAGTTCCCTCAGTCAGCAGTTCAGTCAGTATCCTCACATGAGGAGACTAGCAAACTCATGTTGTCTGATATCGGCATAGTGTCAAAGCCAGGACGTAGCATAATGTTGCACGTGTTGAGAGAGGAAGCCGAAGATCAGGCTCTATAGCCACATAACCTGAGCAGCGATACATTTGTGCTGAGTGATCATGGGCTCTCTGCAAAACCCTTTGGGTCCAAGTACTTAAACAGTAGGGTTTCAAGGTCCAGAGCCATTCAGAGTATGGGTTTTGGGCCTAAAACCTTACTATTTGCTCTAAACCCTAAACCCTGAACCCTAAACCCTACTTGGGCTCGCTGCAAATGGAGTCAACCTAGAGAGATCTGACAAGCCCACATGTGACAGACATGTCGATGCAGGGGCTAAGACAGGTATGGAGCTAGATAGGTCGGCGGGCGAAATGGGCTTATTGCTTAAGCATGCTCCGAGTCTTTAATTTAAGGTAGTCAGATTAGCGTTGCCGCCCTTGCGCGATTGTTCAGCTTTCTTACAGATCAGCTGAAATGCTGAACCCACATACCAAAGCCGAACGACTACGAACCCTGCTTTAAAGATTTATTGAGACCCTCAAACCTAAACCCGAAACCTCCAACAGCCTAAAGCCGTGTAGAAGCTGCGAGGGCCAAACCACCGGAATGCTGTCAAAGCGACAAATTCACCCTGACGATGGCGAAGGCCTTCAGGCAAAGTTCGATCAACCCATGCTACAGTTTACAGTAGAAGCCCAACACTTGGAAACCCAACAGCCTCGATCCTTAAGAGTAATGTATAGGGAGGTTTCCAACTTTATGAGGTTTACTGTAAGGCAGAGAAATTCAACATGAGGCTGTAAAGCAAGGATCAGCAACTCAGCCTGCAGGCAGTTGTTACCAGGTTGCCCATCAGGTCCTAAGTGCCTATATATAGTCTATTGTAGGGCCTCTATATTGAGGATTACCACTATGATTTGGGGAAGTATTCCCCCCGCGACAGCACCTAGGACCCTTTGGGGTAACATGGGGTCTCATTCTACGTTGACGTCAAGTTTTTGAAATTTTGGGGTGGCTTCTGTGTTAGAACATCGGGCGAGCATGAACCCCAAGGACGGACGATGCGAGGCGATCGAAATTATGTCTGCTCATGCTTCTATACCATGCTCTGAAGATCGATACCAGGAGAAGCTACTAAGTAGGTGTTAGGGGATTAAAGTATCTGCCCCAAACGCACGAGCTCCAGGCTTTGCAATGAGCTCGTTTTAGCTTGCAGGGCCCAGTACCGGTAAAAAGGATCCAAAAGTAGAACCCCCTCGGACCGAAAAAGGTTCCAGGCATTCTACGGGTGAATAAAGATGTCAGTTTTCAGGGGCACCAATCGCTGTTAAACATCAGTCTCCAAGTGCCCCTTCCCAAAAACCCCAATCGCACATGCTTTGGGCTCACTCAAGATACCCTGATCCTTTTCGGGCGCCCAAAAGACTGCGTCAGTCTTAGCCAAAATGATTGCGAAGGCTTTGTGAAGTTAATTATGTCTACACTAGCTCTCTTTCAATATTGCTCGAAGACTTCCAACCAAGCTGTATTGAACTGAAACCTGGGGCTTGTCCGAAGGCTTTGTCAGGTGAGGGTTTCAGATTTGTTTGAAGATGGTCCGGGGTTTTTCAGGGATTTGGAGTGGCTTCGCTTCGCCCCTAGCAGAACACCCTACACAACACGAACCTACGTTGTCAAACAAGCTAAAAAGACTAGCGACATGTGTTCCGACTCCGACTGTACCACTTACTACGACCCCTAAACTCGCAAGCCCGATTCTCTTAACCTCCAACGACGAACCCCAAACTTTCTGTCCTAAACCCATAATTTACGGGCCTTCATAATTAGCATAAATTTTGGGGTCCATTGATTATACTATAACTATTTGTTAAGGCGACCCAAAAACATAGTATAGGTGATCATTCAAGGCCTCTATATTATACTACCCTTATAGATCCCTTATAGTAGCCCTCATAGACCCCTTTAAAGGGAGCCCTATTCCAACTATTTAAGACCCCTATCGTCTTCCTACGGAGCCTGGCCTGGCTGCTGTAAGGCGTCTCGAAGTTGGGACCGTTTTCGGCACCGGAGAGAGTCAGAAACCTGCGGCGGCCGCAGGAAATGGAGCTCTATGGACTATACTTTAAAATTTGGGCCCTACAACATTGTACTTGTGTTCTTTATTTTCGTTTCTTTTATAGGCTCCTAACATATTCTAAGAAACAAAGCGTTCTTCAAATCAAAAAAGGACTCTATTCTAGGGTCTAGCTAGCTCCAGAAGCGGCTTTTGGATTGTAGCGTTTAGGGTTCGGGGCTTCAGGGCTTTGGGGCTGCAGGGCTGTATGGTCTTTGGGTCCTGTATGGTATTTGGGTTTAGGGATTGGGTCGTGCACATCACCCCCCCAAGGATCCTCAGTACCTACTTGGGGGATGCGAATGTGCAAGCCCTGGCTTTTTGCACTGCTGGGTCATTGAGGCTGAGTCAGGCTGTTCCCCGGCTTGGGAGCCAGAGTTTGAGGCCTTGCGTTTTGTATCTCGCGCTTAATCCTAAAGTCTCCATGGTTTCTCGGTTTTTTGGTTTAACCAAGGATATTTTAAAGATTTTTAAGGATCCTCTAAGGTAACACCAAAAAAGGAACTACAATGGGGACTACAGGATTCTCTCATTCAATCAACTCTGGGTTCAGGCCCTTTATCGAATCCGATCTCTGCAGGGCCCTAGGCTGCTCCAAGAAGAAATCAAGCCCTCTGAGCCCTAAGCCCTAAGCGTGTATTCGTGCCACGGCCCCAGTATGTATATATTTCTATAATATATATATATATATATATATATGTACATATACCTCTACATATATATATATATATATATATATATATACACACACACACACACCACGCATGCAAATTTAAGACCAACTGCGAGGCTGTGAGCTTTCGGTGTTTTTGAGGCTTGGCCCGTCAAGAGTCTTGATCCTGCGTTTCAACATTTGCTTGGGTAGGGTTTCGGGCTTGCCTTCGGGCCTTCAGGGGGCTTCTAAAGAACTCTGAGGCTGTTGAGTTTAGGGTGTCCGCCCACACCACAGGACGTCGTCATTCCGCCCTGATGCCTCAATCCTTCTTGTCCTTCCTGCAACCCTGTAAATGATCTAGACCTTCGTCGAGAAAATGGAAGTCGCATTTCGGATGTACTTGTGGCACGGAATGTTCCGGGTTGACATCTTAGGAGGTCTGCGGCGCACCCTAAACCAGAGTCTCAGAACCCACATTGAACAAAAGCCATAAAGCTACCACAAATCGACTTTCCGCCTTTCAACACCCAGCTCAGCGCCGTCAGGGGAGCTGACATGACAGGCCACGATGCCTGAGCTACAAGGTTTTCATGGTTTGGGGTCTAATACTTCGAATCCGGCTTCGGGGTAGATTTAAATATTCTGGTATACATATATTCAGGAACACTACAAGGAAAACACTTGTAATTATTCGACAGCTCTCAATCCAATGGCAGAGAGCGACAGCCGAAGGAAGTGGTTACTCCTGAGGTCATCCCACACGCGGAGGCCTTAAGGCCTATATCCTTCGTCAGTCTGACGGCTTTTACGAGTCCAATACCCCGCCTTCCGACAAGTCCTCAGAACAAATAGGTCCACCAGGAGGCCAAGTCATCAGTCAGGCTTTGTGGATTCAGTCTGGGGGGTGGGGGCTATGTCAGCTAGCCAGGGCTGCAGTCTCAAACTCCAGAGCTCGCAGAGGGTGAAGTGAAGAGGCGCAAGTGATGTGCCTATCTGCCGACTCGATCTTTCTATCTATTTGTCTGTCTATCTTTCTATCTGTCTGTCTATCTATGACACCTCTTTGAGCCTTACATTTTAGATGATACTAAAAGGCGGGAGGTTTGGAATGGCCCAACACGAGGCTGTTACCTCCAGCTCCTCCCCTAGACCCTTAACCCCACCTGAGGAGCACCTCAGAACGAAGCTTAGCTCGCCCAGAATAATTATCCTTAACTAAGGAAAACACCTCAAACAATAGGGGGTGGCTTCATCAATTATGGTTTGAGACATATTCTTTAACTCAGAGGTTTGGGAGTTGGTGGGACATAGTCATGCATGGTAGGACACCACAGGACGTAGTAGGTAGGTTGCAAGTAGAGCTCCACATCACAGATGACCTACTATGATTTTACTGATCCCCTGAGCAGTCAAAGTCAAGCCGTGTCGCTCCCGGCTGGAGCTTCCGTGACCTCTGTGGGATTTAGGCAGGATTGGGGGTTGAGCACTTTAGGGCTTTGGTGTGTCTAAAGCTTGGGCTTTTAAGGTTTCAGGGCTTTTAGGTTTAGGGCCCGAGCCTGACGGACTCGAAGAAACCATTAACATCCACAAACCTGTACGTCCTAGGGCCCCAGGCTTTACTATCCTTCATCACCTACACCGTATCATCACTGACCTGTAGTTCCAACAGCCTTTGATTGGACTCGAGTCGCATTTGTGGGAGGAGATCAACCATGCAGCCCTGACTAAACCTACCGAACCCTAACAACCCTTAACCCTGAACTCTATACCCTATGTTACCCTACGATAGTTCTGATCTACGATAGCTGGTTTGCTTTACTGCGCTGAACACAAGTAGCAGGTAGTAGCCGGAGGTATTGAACATGTGATATGATTGGAACCTTGGTAATATGAACAGGGTTCCTATAATGAGGGTTCCTTTATTCAGAGGTTCTGAAAGGGATGCTATGCGCGGGTATTCTGGCTTAGAGTTTAGGGTTGTAGTTCCCGTGTCCGTCATAACAAGTGAAGAGTTTTCGTGTAAGTTCTGGGATTTGAGGGACGGGGATCTGTGGGAAGCTGAAAGAGTACTCATAACGCAACTCGTTCGGCACGTCGCTATACCTAAACCCCTTCAAGGATAAACCGGATGGAACCCCTCAACAGGTATCCTGCTGTCATGTGGCTTAAGGGTTTAGGGTTTAGGGATATACGGGGGCCTGTTTTGTTCAGGGTTTCTATTTTCACATCCTCCTGGTAGCAGCATCGGCAAGTCGTGGCCGCCTCCAGGAGATTTCGCCCCATGAGCTGGAAAAGCCGCACCACTTGAAGGCAGCGCTCCTGATTTCGGTTCCCTCAAAAGGTAGGATGAAGGTAGGTGGGATATTCCCAAATAAGAGTCCTTATATAGGGGATCCTTAATCCCGCCTACCTTCATCCCACCTTGTGAAGCCTCCGACGATTGGTTCGGGGCGCGAGGTTGACGCTTTGGTGAGGGTACTTGGAGGGTCGGGGGACTTAGTACCCTTAAGGGGATCTATAGGGGTTCTGTAAAGGGCTCCTTTAAAGGGTTTTTGAAGGTTCTATAAGGAGGGTCGGGACTTAGTAAGTAGGTACCAAGTAGACTTCTATGTGCCCTAAAAGGCTTCCTAATTGGGCTTATGGTACTTAATATAAGTCCTCAAAATAACTACTTACTAAGTCTCCTGACCCTCCAAGTAGGGCTTCCCCAGACCCAAGGGAGGATCTAAAGAGCAGATCCCCTAATTTGGGACCCTACACTACTACGGGGTAACTACTATATAAATTCCTGGATCTACTCTTGTCTGGGTAGGGCTAAGGTTGAGGATGGGGATTGTAGCAGGGAGCTTCTTCAAGGCCAAAACATACATCATGTGAAAGCACGAATAGAAGCAGGAATTCAGTTCCCTTACCTGGAGGTTTGGGGCACTTATCTGGGTTGTAGTTTTGGGACGCCCAAAACTATTCATGTATAGATAGCTCTATAGGACCATAAGGACAAAGTTTCCCAAAGAGTCACCTAGTTATTCCTACCGAAACCAAATTTCGAGAAAGTGCCCAAACCACTAGATCCGTTTATTCCCTTGACCCCAGGCCTTGCACCTAGACACGAAGTTTGTGCGTGTATCCTGTCCAGCAAAAACCTCAACCAGAAGCCAAAGCCTGGTCGGAGAGAAACGGCTCATGGTAAAGATTCGGGTTAGACTCTCAATCCGAAGCCGAGGGTATGAGTAGCAATGCTGATCTGTAATTAGTATATATATACATATATATATATATGCACGTATAGGAGCCTGAAGAACTTCTTTGCGTCGCGTCTCGCATATGATACCTCAACACCCTATATTCCAACTACATAGAGCTTCGTCGACACACTCGTCACCCCAAAGACCTGCTCGAAGAAGTGCGCAAGGAATCTCCATATTCCCCTTCCACTCGTTCAGCCCTAAACTAAACCCTAAACCCTGAGCCCTAAACCCTCAACCCTTGACTCTAAACCTAAACCCCTAAACAGCCTAAACCCTAAACCTGAACCCCGAAATAGCCTAAACCCTAACCCTAGCCTAACCCCCAAACCCCCTGAACCCTAAACCTTAAACCATAAGTAAGCCCTGGCCCGTAAACCCGAGGAAACCCTAACCCCCAAACCCCCTAAACCCTAAAGCGTCCTGCTCATCGGGCTTGTCCTGACCGATGTAAACTCGGCTGTTGGGCCGCAGTGTGCCAGAAAAGACACGGCAGATGCCGACAAAATCCTCGGAGGTTGAGGCTGTATCGGGTCTTTGGGCCTTACCTGGGGATCCAAAAACCTACTGCTTTAAGGGTTATACCTCTAAGTAAGGGATCACAACCTAGTATTTTGTAGAGTTTGGGAATGCAGGTACGGTTTGGATACCCCATTATAGGGTTTCAGCGAACTATGGACTTTGTGGAGATTCCTTTTAACACAATTCAAGCCATCTCGGAACGATGCTGGCTCCAGGTCTCGAGCTGAGACCTTGAAAAACAGAACCGATCCAGAAAGCAGCAACAGCAGAACCCAATATGAAGCCCCCTAAAGGAAGAGATGCTTTTGGGTCCGACCCGCCCTTGCCAAAGCTACTTACTTGGGGCTACCCAACTCATAAGCCTCATTATAAGCTACCTACAAAGTTCCAGACTCCTCTAAGTCAGGGCCAGGGGCCACATCCTGATCACCAACGAGTGTGTCGTCGGTGAGCACAAGCCGAGCCTCAATGCCAGGGGGTCTGGTACATGGGGTCGTAACACCATACACCCCACACTTATGATAAAACCCTGAACCTCAAACTGATACTACTGTTGATGATATAAACCCTGCACTACCCATAATAAGGAATATGACATAATTCCCATAGTTTGAGGCCTTAAGGTAATGCAGGATTCATATCATCAAGCGGGTGCTCCGGGTTTTTTTCCTGGGGGGGTCTCAAGCTTCGGCTAGGACCGGCTAGGATCGTGAGGAGGTCAATAGACCTTAACCCTGCATGCCCTTAGGGTTTAGGGCTTAGGGTTTAGGGAAAGAGTCGCAAGTACCGATATAGTAGAATGAATGTGAGTTGGGGGTTTCTACGTTAAAACATCAAGTGTTCCCCATAACAGTACCTAGGACCCTTTGGTATAACCGGTGCCTGACCCAAGACGATTCCTCATGGTTTCACTTCTTTTTGGACTTTTCATATCCCGAGTCCTCCTCGGTTTCAAGTACCGTCTCAGTATTGGGGAATCGTGTTTGAAGCCTTATCGAAGCCGGCCTCATTTATGGGGTTTAAGTTTTGGCTGACCCTGCGAGCCTACATTGCCCTGAGCTCTACATATCTAAGGCTGCTGCCAAATCCGTATTCTTGAACAGCAAGGAAGTTTTGGTGCAAGTTGCAATAGCCTTGTGTACATCTAACCCATCTAACCACCACCAGAAGCAGAAGTAGCGATACTCCAGGACCGGAGCCCGACACCCTACATCTTGCCTCTATCCTACCTCCTACGGTTCAGGGTTTAGGGTTTAGGGTCCCAAGCCCTGTGGCCCAAAGCCTCAACCCCTCACCACGAACCCAAATGGCCCCGCCCCTAGACCCAAAACTGTGATCAAAGGCGCAAGATCTGCAGATAAGAACTTGGCAAGGTAGGCCACCGGGGTAGCCTCCGGGTCGCACCTGAAGATTCATTTGAGGGACCTTGTACGTCATGACTCTTGCAGTTGATGATATGGATCCTGCATTACCCATAGAAAGGAGTATACCATAATCCCCATAGTCTAGGGTCCTTAGGATTCATATCATCAACCGTATTATCATCAGCGGCGGGTTAGCTCCTAGGTATCTACAGGTGCGGGAGACTGCACTCCGGGCCCAGGCCTTTGGCATTTAAGAACTGGTCTGGGAAATATTCGGGCCTTAACGATTCAAACAGGGCTTTGGGGCATTGTACTGTAAATTTAATAAGGGGCCCTAAGAATCATATTGGTCATTATGCAGGCCCCTATATTAGACGGCTTAGGGCTCAGGGTTTGGAGCTTGCTCGGTGGAAGTGCTGCAACGGAAGAAATAACATGCACAGCCGAGCAAACGGCACCAGCACTGCGCTTGTATCAGCGTTGTATATGAGACGGGACCCCGACCCTATCTGCGTGTTCACGGAAGCAGAAACAAACAACTTGAATATAGATGAATAGCTTTGTTAGGACAAACAAGGGCCGTCAGCTGTGAAAGGATTGGGTGTGCTTTGATTGGCCTTTGAAGCTCTCAGTCTCGTTCACGCACGAGCACACGGACCCATGCCACCCAAACATGAGCTCAGCGCCACAGCTGCACATCTTGCCCAATCTTACCTTACCAGCAGGCCTGCCGGTTGTCGACCATTTGACACACCTTGTACGTGCCTTCTCTTTGGCTCAATGCACGAAATCGCCGGCTCGTCCGTCTGCGTCTGCTGATTCATATGCCCGATAGCTTCGGTACTCGTCGCTGAGCTAAGATATGGGCAATCCAGCTTTCCCGCTGCTTCTTGCAAACGGCCAAGCATTTCTCACAGAGAAAGAAGGTCTCGACAGCAGGCTCTCCGCAGTGACTGTTCGCATCGTTGAGGCACAGTGAAGTCATTCGGCAATTGCCCTGCGGTGCTGTCACGAGTCGTAAACGAGAATGACCAGCTATGTTGATTTGGGCGTGTATTTTTGTTCCAGGGTAGTTGTCCCGTCCTGAGTCCATTTGCAGGCAATTCGCCACACGCTCAGAAACCACACCACCGTTCTGGGTCCTTTTGCAAGCTATTCGACACACACTCAAAAACCATACCACCCTTTTCTCTACTGGACTCGACCACACCACCCTACAATCCCAAACCACACCAGGTTTGCCTCAAGGGGAATCCGTGGTGTAGAGCAGATCTTCAGGCTGTCTGGGCTATTTAGCATCAGTACCGGGGGGGATGTCTTGACGGTTGAATTGCGATTTCAAAAGAGATGTGAGCATCAACCCGGCTATGCAAAAGCCTGCATATCCAAAGCACCCGAACAAACTTTGAGCTGCCGTAGCCTAGACTTTATTTCCAGGGGTTCTGCCGAAGCTTGGACAGCTAGGGATTGCTCCAAGCACTCCTACTGCAGAAACGGCCCGTTTGTCCTGCCTAGCTTCAACTCGAAGCCGTACTATAGGGGCCTTAGTAATTACCTATACTATACTATTCTAGGGGTTCCTTACTATAGTTATATTATAAAGGGCCCACAACCCTATTCTAATCATTGAAGCCCCCCTATTACCATACACTCCCAAACTCTCTAGATCCAGGGCCAAACTCCCAATCCCAGGTCACGGTAAATCCTTGAAGACCGAAAACTGCCTAAACCCTAAACTCTGACCAAGTCCTCCACAGCCCCGAAGGTTCCTAAGAACCGCTATGGGGATTGCATACCCGAACCGCAATCGCAATTCCTACCATGGAGACCATTCTGTCTACTACGTAGGTACTTCGTACCCTAAACCCTAAACCCTCAGAGCATCCGTATAGGGAACCCTGAAAATACCCTTCAAGAAATCCTCCTGGTACCCTCAGAGGAACCCTTATGGTACCCTTGACGGAACCCCTTTATAGGACCCTTTGAGAGTGGTTTGGCTCTTCAGTGCAACCGCGGCACTTGTGGAGGCCGTCGGCAATGGCATTCGCCAGTGGTTTTGGGGCGAACCACTTGGGACAAAGCACCGGCCTTGGATTTGCGGCTTTTCATTTAAACTCGAAATCCCGAAGCACGCTAGGCCGAAACCCTCAAAAGCCCTAAGCCCACACCCCTAAAACATAAATCCCTTATCACAATGTACTGTAGACCAATGATCCACAACCCCTTTAATCTCAACAAAGATTACAGTTCATAGGCAAACTAACCAATATTCGGGTCGTTGCGGAAGGGCCTTGAATATCCCAATAACAGCTTCCTCGGCACCTAAATCATAGAACGTATAGGAAACAGGGGTCTACTTTTCACAGCATGGGACGTTCCCACAGGCCCGGAGCTCTCAAACCCAGCCCCTGGAAGGATGCAGAAACGTAGATGCCTTAAGGGGGTTCACATAAAGTTCCGGTATAAGTTCTCAAATTCGTGGCTTTCTGGATCCTAAACCCTAGAACCTAAACCCCAAAACCGTATAAACCCTCACAAACCCTGAACCTCGAATCCTGAGTCTGGAGTTAGGAGCTCTACATTCTAGATCGCTCTGGTACGGCCCTATAAACACTACTATAGAGGCCTAAATAATTGCCTTACCATTCTGAGGGTTCCTTATTGTATTTATAGTACGATGTGCCCCAAAGCCAATTCTAAATATTAAGGCCCCTATAGTAGGCCCTAAACCCTAAACCTCTAAACCCTAAACCCCTAAACCCTCAACCCCTAAACCCTTAATCCCTAAACCCTTGACCCCTGAACCCCTAAACCTCCAAACCCTAAACCTTTGAACCCTAAACCCCTAAACTCTGAACCCCTAAACCCCTAAACCCCTGAACCCCCTACGTCGAGGTGCAATCGATGCGGCGCCGCATCGACCGGGCTGGGCAGATGGCTCGTTGCCTCAATAGGTAATTACTATAGGGGGTTAGGGGCTTAGGGCTTTAGGGGTTTAGGGTTTAGGGGTTTAGGGTTTAGGGGCTTAGGGGTTAGGGCTTTAGTGGTTAAGGGGGGTTTACGGTTCAGGGGTTTAGGGTTTATACTATAAGGGCCTTAATAATGAGACTAGGGTTGGGGGGGTCATTATATATTACAATTACGATAAGGAACCTCAAAATAGTTTCGGTAATTATTTAGGCCCCTATATTGGCTACCAACCCAGATGTTCGGGAGGATCCAAAAGCTGCTTCCCTTACCGGGGATTCCTGAATTAAGGGTTCTTAAAACGGGTCTACAAGGGGCTTATGAGGGATTACACGGTTTATTGGGTTTGGAGGGTTTTGGGAGTAGATCCCTTAATGGGGTTCCTATAAACTACGCTGTGGTAGTATACGGCCCCAAATTATGGGATCTATTTTCTAGATCCTCCCGGAGTTCTGGGAAGAGGGTCGATCAGTACTACTATTATGGAATTATGGTCCCCGAAACCATAAGAAGGGACGATCTTTTGGGGCTAACTCTGTGATGGTAGTAGACCACTACCTCGTTCTAAATCCCTAGACATACTGTAAACCCCTAAATCGAAATCTAAACCCCTAAATCGAAATGCATGAAGGTCCTAAAGCGCGAAACATAAGCCCTAACCCCTAAATCTGCTACCCTCGAGCCCTGAACCCCTAAGCCAAGTACTCCGTTGGGTAGGCATCGCATTGTCCATGGTTCGTTGCCCAGGTTTTAGGGTTTAGGGGGGCTTAAAAAATAGTCAGGTTTGGAAGTACAGATATACAATCTTATTTCTAGGAACCCTCAACCCTAGGCATGCAAGTGGATAACCAAACGAAGAGCTGCCAAAGGCCCACCAAGGCACCAAAGGGGAGGGGGGAGTGTTTCACTACAAAGAGGGTAGGTCTCAGGTGTAGAGCCATTTCGGATCCCAATACACATGAACCCACAGTAAACCCTGAACCGAACGGCTCTTTTAGCTATCATAATTAATTAGGGCATAGTAGGGCGTAAGGGTTTAGCCCGAAGCCCCAAAACACCCCAAAGCCTTAAAACCCTGAAACCCCCCCAAACCCTGAACCCCTAAAGCCCCGACACTCAACCCGAAAGCCCCAAAACCCTGAACCACAACACCAACAGGCCATGCGGCCATCTCGAGGATGCAGTCAGCGAAAGGCAGCCATCGGGAGCTGAGCTCCCGCGTCGCCGTGGCGCCAGCCTTAGCATCGCTCAAGGCCTGTTTCAGGGTTGAGGGCTGCAGGGCGGGACCCAACAAACAGGTAGGCCTTGGTAGTCCAAAGTAGGGTTTTGGGATATATATGCCCTGGTTGAAGGGGTTCAGAACGATGGATCGACGCCCTATTCGGGTGGGCTTTCGGGGAGTATGGTACTGTAGGGGCCATCATAATTAGACTGGGAGTGTGGGGCGTGTACTTATAATAAGGAACCCCAAAACGGTATAGGTAATTATTTTAGGCTCCTATAAAACTGACACACCTAGAAATTCTGCCGAATGTCACCCACTTCTCACGATGCAGGTCGGGTTGCGGTTGAGGGTTTCGGGCCGACGGTTTAGCACCGGCATAAAGCCTTTAATGTAGGAACCTGATAAAGAAACCCTGGGCCTATAACCCCAAAACCGTAGGGTTCATATAAAGAGCCCTAATAAAGGTCCGAGGTTTCTTAATCGGATTCCTAATTACATTATAAAGGCTATGAAGCACAAGGAGAGCCTTCACCCTTCTGTATGCAAAACCCCTCTGAAACTCGCTCCAAGCCCTAATAATGAAAAACTGCCTGCAAACGCTTGCAACACCGCTAAGGCCATTTGAAAACAACCCACACCAGAACCCTCTTCAGAAGATACCTACTGAACACAAAAACATTATACCAGACGCCCCAGACCATGAACGCCTTACTATAGGGGCCTTAATTATTAGAACGGGGTTTTGGGGCCCATTATACTATCACCATAAGAAGGAGCCCCCAAACTAGTATAGGTAATTATTCAGGCCCCTACTTGGAGGATCATGGGACTTAGTAAGTAGGGTTATAAGTACCTTAATTGGGGATATAAGTAACTAAAAGTACAGTTACCTTAATTAGAACCCTGGTCCTCTTTTTGGGTACCCTAAATAGTAGGTGCAGTATTGTATTAAGGACCCAAAAAGGGACCCTAATTTTGAGAACCACCCATATGAAAGCTTAAAGCCCTTCGTCGAGAGGCCGCGAGCTTCTGCAGATCGAGGTCTTTCCAGCCGGGAATCCTTGTCAGCGCTTTTGGAGTTTAGGGGGTTCCCTAAACCTTAAACCCTAAACCCTGTGGTTTAGGAGGGGTTGGGTTGAGAATTTCGGACTTAGGGCAGCATTTTTCGGGCTTAGGGGTTTGGAGTGTAGGAGGGTTTGGGTTTAGGGGATTTAGGGTTTGGGGTTTAGGGCTGCAGAAACCCTTCCCGAAGCGTAAAACCTTTATATGCCCAGGGTCTGGAAGAATGTCAATGGATTCGTGCTATTAAGGCTTATGATTGAATTTAGGTTTGAAGGTTCGCAATTGGCGGTTCCTTCAAACTCATCACCAATTAACTTTCAACCGGCAGCAAGGTTTCAACCACTCCGTAGCTGGATATTTTAGAGATTTATCAGTACCGTAACCCCTATTTAGGGTCCCTTTTAGGGTACTTATAAGTCTACGTACTACCTACTTACTAACTCCCCCGACCCTGCAAGTGCGCCCTACACCGAAAGCCCGAAATCCGTCGAACGCCCGTGCCCATGAGCCCAAGAACCCACGTTCACCTTACCTTAACCTACCAAAACCTACAAAAAAGTAGGGTCCCTATAAATTCCATATTTGGTTGTATAATAATTTAAGAACCAACAAAAAAGTAGAGTTTGGTGGGTTAAGGTAGCAGCGTAGCAGCAGACACTTCCACAACTGTATAGCGACCCTTAGAGAACCCTTTAAATTCAAGGAACCCCTTAAAAGAACCTGAAACCTAAATCCTAAACCCCACACCTTTTAAAGGAACCTCTAACAGTCTTGAACATTCTTAAACTTAAACCTAAATCCTAAACCCCGCACCCCTTAGAGGAACCTTAAACATGTTTAAGCCTAAATCCTAAAGTTGCCAACGAGCGTCTGTCGCTGCATCTTCCCCAGCAGATCGGTATCAAGGTACTTGTATGCAGCCTTCTCTCGGGCTTCACTTTCTTAAAGGGCCATGGGACTTAGTAACTAGGGTTATAACTAGGGTAACTCTACTTATACTCACTTGTAACCCCAATGAAGGTACTTAGAACCTTACTTGCTAAGTCCCATGATCCTCCAAGTAGGGTTTAGGATCTAGGGTTTAGGGCTTCGGGTTTAGGTTTTAGGGCTTAATGGTTTATGATTTAGGGTTTAGGGCTTCAGGGTTTTCAAGGGTCCATGTGCCCAAGTAGTATATACTTTGGTCTCGAAGTAGTCTCTATATACTGTCACTTTGGCGCCGAAGAGTATCCGATTTGGATACATGCGGCCTTAGGGTTTGGGAATCCTAACCGGCAGGGCATTTGCTTATAGCCTCACGTTGGGTCATAGGTATAACTGCCCCGAAGCTCCAGGCAATACTAGAGGGTTGTTCGGGGGGTTTTGGCTTTCATTGTTCGAGTCTGTTAGAGGGTGTCGGCGCGTCTTGCGCCATGTCCGCGGCCTTCTTGAGTCCTGAAAATTCAGGGAAACTTGTGCCGTGCAGATTGGGTTGGAGGCTTTGCTTAAACCCCAAACCCCTAAACCCTCAAGTTGAACTCCCTAGTCCGTAGCATAAGATCTCGGGCTGACGGCTCCTTTGGGCTTTAGGGCTCAGGGTTTCAGGGCTTGGCATTCGGCGAGATACCCGATATTTACCTCAGGCCCGATCCAAATGTCCAAAAAACCCTGAGAATGCTTTGCAAGTGGATATATACAAAAGCTCACGAGAATTCATGAAAGGCTCTTGGAGTCAAGGTGTACTGGGGCCTCCTCCATTAGATCACAAAACGTTCCATCAATTTTATTGCGCCAGGTGAAAGGCAAACTCCAGAGAAGCCAAACTCTAAGCTGCTGCCGACCCCAAACCAAAAGACCACAGAATATAGCAGCCTAAATAATTAGGAAGGAATTTGTGGGTATAAGGACTTTAATTACTCTTTATTGTCCTGAAATCTACAATCTCATCTAATCTACCGAGACCAGGACCGAAACGAGCATGTGTGCTGACATGGCTTTGACCTTTATGTACAGAACCCCTGCATTCCGCAGCTGGCCTCGTATAGATTGCATATAGGCTGCCTCAGGAGGTGCTTTTGGACTTGCTGTCTTGGGGCTTTGGGGTACCAGAACCTGAACCCTAAACCCCCCAAAACCCTACACCCCGATGATGATGATGATGATGATGATGATGATGACTGTTAAAGTATTAGCATTATGATTAGTAAATTATTGGTAATATGATCATTACCCCTAAACCCTGAAGGAGGGGGTTTGCGACCCTGAAGCATCAGGACTACTCAAAGGGTCATGGGACTTCATAACCAGAGGTCTACAATTAAGGTAACTATACTTATAGACACTTATAACCCCAATTAAGGTACCTATAACCCTACGCACTAAGTCCCATGATCCTCCAAGTAAGACATGTGAAAGTGAAGCGACCCTTGGCGACGTCAGACGACCCCTTCTCTTAGCTGCCTAGTACATAAGCCAAAAAGCATAAACTGTCAGTTTTTTTGAAGTTAGGACTTATGGAGCAGGGTTCGGGGTTGAAAGACTATAGGGTTTAGGGTCTACTATAAATACCAAAGGACAGTTTGCAAACTTATAAGCTACCGGACTACTGGGAGAGCGGCTAGATTTAAGGACCTAATCAGGCTGCAAGCGTTTGGACCTCCGACACTGTGCGGTGCAGTATTCTCCTGCTTCATGAATTAGGACAGGGTTAGTTTTGGGGTGCATTCAATGCTATATCTGAAAAGGAGCAGTATAGGGCCTGTAAGGAGTACTTGTTCGGACCCTGTAGTGTTCTGCACAATCGAAGACAGGGCAAAGACCATTCCACCGGCCCCCAAACCTTAAAACCTTCAGGGGGCCTCTGTATATCCTAAGCCGCGGAACCCAGATGCAACATCTGAGCTCTCATGAGAGCCAAAATCCTAGGTGCAAACCCTATATCCTAAACCCTGAACCGTCACACCCAAGGTTTAGCACAAAGCCCCAAACTCGTCAGCCCCAAATCGTGGCATTTTTAGCCGCGCGGCATGATAAACTCCGCAAACATCGTCTTAGACTCCGTGTCCTTCAGGGTTCAGGGTTAAAGGGTTTAGGTTTAGGATTTGGGGTTCAGGGTTAAGGGTTTGGGGTTTAGGTTTAGGATTTGGGGTTCTGGGCTTAGGGTTTCGGGTTAAGTGTCGTCTGAGACTCCGTGTCCTTCAAGGACAGCAGGGGTGGCTTTCGGCTTCGATGCGCGTGAGAAAGCTTTACTAAGAAGGCTGGGGGTCTCGAGGCTGAAACACGCTTTTAGGGGTTGTTATAGAGGGTTTAGCCATTAGAGGGTTTAGGGTTGAGGTTTGGGGTACATAGGGCTTGGGGTTTAGGTTTTCGGCTCGAAGCCTTGCAATACATATATATATATATATATATATATATACATATATATACATATACATATACATATATATATATATATATGCTTACATATGTTTACGGCGCAAGGTTGAATAGAGGTAACCGAATGATTAGACTATGTTGGTAGAGCTTCCTGCTATAGACATATCCGGGAACCCTTACAGGGTCTAGCTGGACTTGCCTTCATTTTGAACTTGGGAATAATTATGCCACCTCGGTTGCTTGCACCTGCAGGTGTCCATTGCAAACGGCAATGGTCAACGTGAATTCTGAAGATTGGAACCGTGCTAGAATATCAAACGCTTGGCGACTTTCCGATGACCCGTTGCCCTACACCACCAAAACATACAGCGGTAATCACCGGGCGGAAAATGGAATTCCATCTTGAAAGCTGCAGGGATCGTGTACGGTATGAGGTCTGAAAACTCACGGTTTGGGGTTTAGGGCCGAGGGTTGAGGGTTTAGGATGGTTTAGGGTTGCGGGTTTAGGTTTGGCGCTACAAGGCACCTTGTGTATCGATCTTGGGGTCATACGCCGCCGACGAGTTCCCCCAAAAATCTAAGGACTCATATGTTAAGGCTTTTGGGCCCAAAGATGATACTATATACGGCTTTTCGGGGCTTTTCATCCCTAGGGTTCGTAAACCCACTCTAACACCCTGAAACCTTACTCGCCGGGTCCGGGGACTTGGTGACTAGTCCTTTTTCAGACTGTTAAGTATCATAATCACAAATAGGACCCCTTTTCGCACACTTATAAGTCTAGTTGTTGCCTACTTACTGTCCCCCGACCCTCCAAGTAGACCCAGAAACCTAAACCCTTTCTGCACCTTTCTGGGGACAGTGCTGCTCGGCAGAGATGGCAGAACGGCACTTGCTGGCCAAAGCCTAAAGAAAGGGGACGCAAGCCCAAGGGCACACCACCACCTTAGGCAAGGCAAGCCGGAGGGGCTAGAAACTGAGAGCATAGCTACAGGGACTCCCCGCATCGCGCAGGTCGCCTCATTGATGTCACCAGCCAGCGAAAGAACACAACCTGAGAGCGCAAGCACAGTCTGCGTACGGCATGAGCAAACCACGTTCGTAGTTCTCCACAACGACGAAGCCCGAGCTGCAGAAAAGAACCATATGACAGGTAGAAAACCATAGGCAGACGTCAAAAGCAACGTGTCCAATAAGGTGCAACCGCTGCAACGTCCTCGGGGTAGCCCAGCTCAAGCGTCTCCGACGCGCCCGATTCGAACAACAAAGTAGCGAGAGCCCACATAGAGAGGTGTGCAGGACGCCAAGATGCCGCCACCCGCTGATGGAGGAAGGGAGACTTTGCTTCCGGAAGTACTCTGACGAAGTGTAGCCAAAATCCAACTGCCAACCGGCAAAGACATGTGCAGGCGGCCTGGGCTGCGGCACACTGCTGCACATCATGAACAAAGCGTACCTGACACCATTTGAGGCCAAACCCCCGTCGTACAATCATACCACCCTGCATGTAGACCAACTGCTTGGCCAGGCAGACCCGCTGCCGCTGAACACGTGGGAGGCCCACCTCGAGAAAGACGGAGAAAGCATACCAAAACATCCAGCAGCGCCGCCCACCAGGCAGCCAAAACAGAGCTCCCGGTCATTCCAGGAATCCAACCATGGCAGACCCACACACCCGGACCTCGGCCTGCACCGCCTCACCGCTGGTAGGTGTCTCGGGCCAGAGGCTGAAACCTAAACTCACTCACTCACGCACGTAAACGGGTCCGAAGTCCAGAACGCAGGCATGCAAATCCCCAAAAATGCAGCTGCTGTAGCTACACAGGGCAAGACTTAACAAAATTCAACCAAAGAAACGAGGGAGCGAGGGAACCAAGCTGCGACCTCAAAGCAAGGCGGAGGGCGATCTATAGATCGCTGAAGGCCTGAACGTGAGCTCAACAGTGGGATTGCGAGAATCCAAACCGGCGCTCAAACAATGCAGAGCCTTACTATACAAGGATTCGTGGAAAGCACAAAAGAAACTGCCCGTACAAGTGTTCACTTGGTGAAACTTGGCAGCAGGCATGAGTTCTCTCCATAGACGAATCCCTTGAGAAGAGAGAGTTTGGGGGAAAAAGATTCCCGCTCCTCTGTTGACATGCTGACACAACATTCTGAATGTTACTGTAGCTTCGAGTAACCGCCATAAGCGTCTCGGGGGTTCACGACTGACAGGGTCCTCGGCCGCGTCCAGACATTGGCGCAGCGGTGCGAACCCTCGTCTAGCCTTCCAGCACCAGGGGGCAGACCGTTGCAAAGTGGCCCAGAAGCCCCAAAAGCAGTTCCACGCCACAGGGAGTCGCCAGACAACCTTCCGATGGAGCATACCCCGCCAAAGCGGAGAGGGAACTGACCAGTCTGGACGGCCTTCAAGGCCTTGGGAAACGCCAGAGAAGGAATCAGAGGGTACGTTGCACACATGGTCGCCGTCCTCAATGGCAAACCAGTGAAGAGTCCCTTCCAGTTGACTGACGACCGGCGTTAGAGCTGGAGCACCCGGCCCGCGAGCTGAGACATCCGTAGTGTCCGCCGGCAGAACATCGGCAAGTGGTGCCGGATCTTCCGGCCACGAATAGAGCTCATGTGTCCCCACTATCGCCAGTCGCTCTTGACACAGGTCATCTTCCGTGCATGGGATCTCGGCCAGGGAAGCCGCTCTCTGAGCCGGTGTGGCATTAATAGGCCCAGGGAGGCGCGTAGCAGGTAAGCCTCGGTGGCCCCTAGCACCAGATCGCTTCGTCCCTGTACCATAGACGTAGGCTTGCCCGACAGTGACACGAAGTCCGTGCATGCACGCTGGAGTCACCTTCAAGTGATATTTTAACCTGTCGGTCGAGTGGTGGTCGCAATGACACCATAGGCAAACTGTCCCATTCGTATACCGAGTCAGGCTATTGACAACGGAATGCTTGCGGTGGACATGCGCGGCAAGGGCATGCAGGCTGGGGAAGCTGAGGCCGCAAAGTCCACAAACTCTGGGCTGCGGCACGCCAAGAACCTGAACGACCTTGGGAACCACGACATCCCGCCACAGTGCATGAAGCGCTCGATACGCTGAACCATACCGGCTGAGGTGCCTACAGACACTCTGGAGTTTGACGGCATGCTGGGCGATGTACTGGCGAGTGACATGCGTCGGGGATAGGTGGCCAACCAGCCCAGATGCGACTTGCTGGCACGCGTCAACAAGAAGGGAGCACCATGGCGTGGCCCTATCCCAGGCTGCTGCAAAAAGCTCACCCACTCGTGGCGGGGCGCGTGTAACTAACTGAACCACCAGCCGGGTTCTGGCGATGGCACACGCGTCACCAGGGGACGATAACCCCATGAGCAGAACCAACAAGGGATTGGTCAACACATGTCCAAATTTCCATGAGCCAATCAATTGTCTCGCCGCCCTTTCGAAGAAACCGGTAAGTGGGCTGACTGCCCGTTCAGAGACGGCAAGCGACGTGCAGAGGGTAGCATAGGCCGCTGGGAGCACCCGGCCGGCAAGCCACGCTTGCTTAAGTCGCCACGGCAGTGACTGGCAGGCTAGCAGACTCTTCGCATGAGACCATGCGGAGTGGCCTCGTTGTGCTGCCAATTCCATATCCCGCCGGCCATTATCCCTGGGAGTTTGAACCACCCCGAGATACCGGTATTCCGGGGCTAACCGGACAGCATGACCGGAAGGCAAACGTAGTAGAGAAGGCGGAGCCAGCAGCTCGCCACGGACTATTTTAGCCTCCGGACCTCGTACATCGACCAGGATCTCGGTCTTCCCAGCAGCCAGGTTTACTCGGAAGCGCAGAACGTCGAGGGTCGCAAGCACGATGGTAGCGAGCCGAGGCAGTTGGCAAAGGAGTTGGCGAGGCGAGTCAAAATCCGCTAAAATGGCAAGATCGTCTGCCCAGCCTAATGGAAGCACCTCATCAGAAGCTCCGACAAAACTGCCCGCTGCCTGAAGAGAGATGCCTTCCTGGAGGCACGTTGCCTGAATATGCCGGAGTGCGACAGAGAACAACGCTCCGAAGAGAATGTCTGCTAACCCATCCCCTGGTCGGGAGCCTCGAGTTGCGATGAAGGAAGAGGCGGAGCCAGCCAAGCTCCATCTGGAGAAAGCTACACAGTCCTGTAGTAACTCGCGCTCCTCCCTAACCATCCCTATCTGCTCTAACGCCCCTTTAGAGAGAAGACCGTCAACTAGTTGGGTAAGATGTCGGAGGTCGGGGCGACTAGCATCTTCACTGGGCGTGAGGGCAGCATCACCACAGAAGATAAGCTGACGACTCACTTCATAATATGCAGCCTGAATATCAACAAACAGCACCGCAGTACTGCGCTGTAGTTGGGTGCTCAGGTCAATGGCTGCCCTGTAGGCCGCTACGGCAAAACTCACTGGCACGCCCGGTTTCCCTCCAAGCTGGGTGTCAGCATAACCCTGCAGCACGTTCTTGCCGATTGTCCGCCGGAGGTGGCTGTGCCAAATTTTTGCCACCCCATTGAGAAGGGCAATAGCGCGATAGTTGGCCGGGATGGCGGCCGGGCCTTTTTTGTAAAGTGCAAAGTATAGTGCTTCTTTGAACCCAAACGGTTCATGGCCACTCAACGCTATCTTTGTGTTAACCGCCCAGACCCAGCGTCCCGCCTGAGCCGGGAAGTGGTGCCATATTGCATTAGGTACCCCATCGGGTCCTGGGGCCTTATTGGGCGCTTGACGGCGGCAGCTGTCCTCCGCCTGAAGGAGGGAAGGGACCGCCTGTGTGCAGGGGAGGGCATCCCTGCGCAGCCAGGACCTGGTTGCGGCACCAACCTGTGCAGTGTCCGTGCGGATTCCGGCCTCTTGGAGCCGAAATTGTTCTTCGAGAGCCTCGTCTATGTCGTACCCTCCAGCCGCATAGACCTGCCTGCGTTCAGCAGCTCTCCTAGAAGCCCATTTGAGGTGATTGATGGACTCCATGGGACGACCATGGGCGTGCCAATGCTGAAGGGCTGCAGTGGTCAATGCCAGGAAGTGCGCCTGTTTGTCCTTCCTGGCCAACCCATGAACATAATCCTGGGTCTTAGCTTCTTGAAAAGCAAGGGCCGCCGTATAGTGGCGAGCCATGCGCAGATCGGCCAAATGCTGGAGGCGGATCGACCGAGGGCGTCGGCGCCAACGGGCTATCGCCCAGCGGCATGTATGCTGCCGATGCAGTTTCCGGGAATGTCGAAGCTGACACCGCCAGTCGCGGAGCTGATACAAGCAACGCACGGTCTCAGGGGCCAAGTACGGCTGACGGACCTTAAGGACCCTGGAACTAGCGTGTTGCTGTGCAAACTTCCGATAGGCATCTTGCAAGGTGAACACCGCTTCACCACTGCTGATGGCCGTCTCATGGGGAGATGGGAGTTGCTCCCAAAAGTGTCGCCCTAACTCTTCAACAAAAGGTCCTCCCAGCACCGCCCGACGACGAGCTGTGCGCCCCACAGGGCTTGGCCGAAACAGGGTAGAGCGAGACCTTAGAGCAACATGATCCCTGTAGGAATTGACTATGTCGAAATCCCAGGCTTGGGCAGTGCTATGGTGCTGCCAATCCCCCGTACTGAAAAGCAAATGATCCAAACGCTTGCGTTTACCGCCCGTATGTTCCCAGGACCACCCCTGTCCGGCTTGGTATTCCGGGAAAGTAGCGGGGGAGTCTAACCCGTTAACAGTGACGAACTCAAAAAGGAACTCATCGTTGGAGGTTGGCGGGTGTGCAGCAATGAGTGAGCCAATACATTGCTCTTCCGCGTCCTGAGCGCAGAAATCAGCATTGGCATCGATGCCGAGAAGTCGAGGGCGAAGTCGAGGCGCTTGGTGCAGTGCTTGGTGCAACTCGCTCCAAAAGCCTTTAGCCTCATGCAGGGGGCGATCCTGATGGGGTGCGTGAGCAGAGAAAATGGTGAGAGGAAGCCTCTCATCAACGCAGGTGATGACAAGAAGACGCGGCGTTGCCTTCAAGATCTTGCACGAGGCCAAGGAGAGTGGTGGACTAACTATGTCAGGTCGAACCCAAATTTCACAACCATACTGGCCACGATCAGCGCCGGAGCGCCAGGAGAGCCATCCGCCGGTAGCCCACCGACCCGCGGGTGCCCGGGTCTCCTGAAGACACACTATGTCTGCGTGCATATCGAGCAGTTGCCTATAAAGGTACTGGCGACGGGCACCGTGACCAGAGGGGTTGAAAACACTCTGACGCGGGTCTTTGATAGACTGTATATTGGCAGTAAGAAGGTGTAGGGGCCCGAGAGGCCGGTTGGCGGCGCACGTGCTTGCCTGCTTTTTATCCTCACTGGGGACTGGTGGCAGCCAGTCAGTCTGCCCCGTAGTAATTGAGAAAACCCCTCTCCCTTCGCGAAGCCGACTCTGGGGTATAACCCATAGCCATGGGAAATGGTCAAAGTCCAAGTCCGCCTGGAGACGAAAGTGCGGGTGTGAGACCCAGAGGTCGCAATCACCGGTGACACCACGCCAGCGACTGCATCCGCGAGTGTGTTGACAAGGACTCCGACATGGCTGTGGACATGGCGGAAGTGCGTAGTGACGCGCGCCTGCACTACCTGCCAGGCTAGGCGGGTTCTTTGTGCAGGCGCGGTCGCCGCTGATGCTTGTCCTGCCGCTACCTGGAGGGCAGAGGAATTATCCACCACTATAGTGATTTGTGTAGGCCTGTGCCGCATGCGTAGTTGCCAAAGATCGAGCATGGCGGCACACCAGTGGCCTGCTGCTTGCAAAGCCGCCAATTCACTATGGAAAGAGCGCAGCCCAGGGTGCGTGCTGCGGGACTCGCCAGGCAACCAAGGGGTAACTGGTAGTGTAGCTGCGGCCCAGCCGAGACGAAACCACTTATGACGAAACAGACCCCAGACGAGAAAGGCCCAGGCCCCCGGGCCTTCGCCACTGCCATCTGTGGCAATGAGAAGGCTATCTGGCGGCCCGCCTTCCCATGCCGGATACGCTTGCCAAGCAGTATGGTAGGCGGAAGAGAGACAGCCGGGTAACAAGTCTCCTAAGCCTTGAGACCACCAACCTTGGTGCAGCTGTGCCTGAAGCTGGCACGTCGGCTCGACATCCAGTTCCCAGGTCCCTTTGGAGACCTCATGCCATTGCAGAGGGGCCCCCCAAGCAGCGAGGTAGCACGCCAGGATGCAAAGGAGCCCAGTGGCCTCCCTGCCATTCAGAGAGCGGCCTCGCCACCACGGGACAGCAAGGAGGCCACAACACACAAGTGAGGGCAAGCCACCGGGGTTAGAGCGGGCCGAGTTGCTTGTAGCAGTCGGCAGGCCAGACTCGCGAGGAACCTGGCTTCCTGAAAGTGGGGATGCGGCGGTCATGGTAGACGTGGGAGACATATGGATGATGTCAGCCGAGTCCCAGACTTGATCCCAGGGCCACCAGCCCTCCGGCTCCCCGGACATAGCCGGTAACAAAGCCCCTCGCTCGGGGTGCCACTGTTGACCCGACTGTGCCCGCAGAATCCTATGTATTGTATCAGCCCGCCGCCACAGGATGATCCAGCCCCCACCAGCAATCTCGAGGCGATCACTCCAGAAGCCGTAGCGGACGGCGCTGCGGAGGGAGGAGAAGGTACGGTAGAATGGGAAAGCGAGTGACGGTGCCCAGCCATCCTGAATAATGCGCAGGCAGCTGCCATCCTGGAGGTGGATAGGTGGGGAAGCCGGTCCCACCACCGACAATTCGGGCGCATTGCCCTGGAATCTGTAAACACTCCCAAACAGCGGCTGAAGGAGCTGGCGTAAAGCCGGGGCGGTTAGTGGGGTTGGCACTAGCAGTGCGCGCGGCGCTGGTGCACCGACTATCAGAATTGTGGCCCACCCTCTAATACCCAGCCCCGGAACCCAATGGCTGTCAATAGAAAGCGGCGCTGGCCGAACCGGGGCGAGGGTAACATCAAGAGAATTCCAGCCTGTTGCATAGAGTGCTGTGGCTGCGTCCAGAAAGGGCCCCAGCCTCCCATGCGCAGGACACCAGAGGCAGTGTCGTGGCTGCCCGGTATCTCGAGGGGGAGCTTCCCTCATCGCCTGTGCCGAGTAAGCGTCAGCGAAAAGCAACAGGAAAGCCAGATAGCCTCTCCAACCGAGTGCCCTGGACAGAACAACTCCCCAGAACAACACAGAGGGCCAGCGAGAGACCGGGACCGCAGCTGAAACCTCGGTGTCCGGAAAGTGTACTATATCCCCGTTACGGAGTTCAGCCCATGGTTTGTCTTGGGGTTGCCCCAGTAGATAGCATGGATCCGTATCTCTATCAAGAAGGATCTGGCAGGTAGCCGCGTTAGCAAGCGCGTGAACAGTATGGCACGTGCCCAGAAGGCGATCGCCCCTAAGGGTCTCAATAATAATGTTGCGAAGGTCTCCATCTGACGCCCGAAGACAAAGGTGTGGCACATCATCGTACGCCCAAGGCACCGGGCTCCACTGACCAGGGTACCGAACCTGAAAATCCCCTTGAAAAGTGTGGAAATGTGAATCCCAGATTGCTGGAGCCGGAACGCGTGTACGTATCGGGCGCTGCCCTGGTCTCCATAGGACCAGAGGAAGGTCCACTTCACTCCTAAAGTCCAGGGCCCAGAGAGCCATGTGTCGAACGCTCGCAGAGGAGGCACTCTGTTCATCAGCACGAAAAACCGGAACCTCTAACGCACTGGCATCGAAGTCAGTGGGAAAGGCCAGAACCAGATCCCCATCCCTCCAACGCACGGCTTCGTGGGCGCTAGTGACTGGACCCACCGCCGCAGGCGGACCTCTGAGAGAGAAGAGTGGGCCTGGCGACATACCTCGTATGAAATCCAACAACCAGGCCAAATCGGCACGATTAGGGATCAGCACCGGCATTTGCCATTCAACTGAGAGAACGACCAGGCATGCCATGGCGGGTGATGGGGCCACGGGGACAAACACCAATTGGTCGGGCGAGGGCGACGGCCACACCGGAACTATTTCGTGCGACCAAACCGGCTCAGAGCCCGTCAAGGCCATCCTGACTTCTTCCACAGTGTCGTTTTGTCGCATGACAACAACAGGATCGCCCCTCACCCCGAAGGGGGACAGTAGCCTACAGTTGAAAGCGCCTGGGATGGATTCATGCAGGGCACGGTCCTCAGGGGGAAGTCGCCAAGGAAATTTGCCCACCCGCACTGAGGAATCAGTAAGTGCCTCGGGGGGCACAAACATGGCAGCTGCAGGCCGTCGAGACAGGCTAAAAACCAGCAACCATAGTACTATGCGCGCCGGCATTCGCGCGCAGACAGCCGCTGCTGCCGCACTAAGCGGAGTAAGGGATGGCGCATAGGAAGGAATAAGAGTGTCACCGTCACGGAGAATCACTTCCCCCATGCCGCGTCGGAGGCGGTGTTCCACCTGCCACCCAGAGGGTAAACAGTCCTCGCCCCTGGTGCGCTCAAGAAGAAGGCATTCTACTGGCTCGTCACTAAAAGGACGGTGCTGGAGAACATGTGCTGCTCCTGGTGGCGCCTGCTGCACAAAATGACAAGCGCCATCCGCGTGGTACTGAGCGGGGACCCATCGGTCATTACCGGGCATGCACCGAGGACGCACGAACTGAAGGCTGCCCGGGAGCCACCGGGACCTTGAGTGCACCCAATGTCGTTCACACTGAAAAAGTGGGTCTCCATGCGGATGCCAAACATAGACCCAACCCCCGTGCTTCACGCTGAAAGAAGCATGCCAGCATGTGAGATGAGGCTACCAGTTGAGAGAACGATGTTGCGCCAGAGGAGGTTCTGGCACATGGGGATGGTTATGGTCATCATGCCAGCCGAAGACATCGCCATCCCGCAACCCCATCGGTAGACTCTCAAAATCCCTACACCGAGAAAGGGAGGGCGGAAGCACAAGACGATTCTGCCATGGCCTCCACAGGGCCAAATGGGCTCGCAACTCCCGGAGCGAGAAGTGACGCGGTAGAAGCAAGGCAAAGTGACGCCCGCACACTGAAACCACTACTGTCGCAAGATCAGTGAGGCCCCCAGGGACGATTGTCATAGGTTGGCGCCCAATGGTAGGGCCAAGCAGCACATGACCTCTACTCCAACGGCCACAGAATTCAGCCACTAGGCCGTCCAACGTAGTTCCCGCGACCTCACGCGTAAAGTACGCCGGGAAAGCTCCGCTGTGGAAGGGAGAGAGGATATGATAGTGGCCTTGACCACTTGACAGGACCTCCAACATAGGGTGTGGGTGCTCAGGGCGCCAGGCACTAGCTCGAGGGCTTAAGTCATCGTCTGAGTCAGCAGACGAGTGTGCGGAGCTGGGAGTTCGGCTCCGACCACGACGGACAGCCTCAGCAGTGGGAAGACCTCCGACCAGAAGACCGAAGAGGGACGGCTGACGGGCTGCGATCAGCAGAGCAATCGAGAGGCCGACCGAGGCGTCTAGCCCCCAGCGTCGCCCACGATTCCAAACAGAGAGCCAACGCTGCTCATAGACATATGAGTCCAGTACAACATCACCGTCCCGGAGAACAAGGGGTGCAATGGTGTCTTCAGGTGTAGCGCCGAGTACAGCCATGTACTCCGGCAAGGAATGCAATTCTTCCGCAAGTTCAGAACGGCTAGTACGGGCAGTGAAGGCAAGCGCCACTACCCCTTCGCGGCTTTCATGTATAATATGCGCTCTTCCCGGACTGGTGGAAGCTTGCATTAAGTGCACGCAATTTCCCGGGTGCCATGGAATAGGGACCCACGAACCTGGCCAGCGGCTCCTGAAAGAGCCCTCAAACGTCCTGTCCTCAGGTGTCCAAAATGCACCGGCATCAACCCGGGTAAAAATCGGACCCCCATGAACCGGCGACCAGACACCAACTAAGTCAGTCTCAGCAACCACAAAGGGGGCGGTCCACCGCACCTGAGAAACGAGACTGAGAGGCATCTGCGGAACAAAAGCATTAACATCCTTCGTACCCGTGAATACTTCTAGAACATCCGCAGTGCGAAGGTTCAGTTCCCAGGTGCGAGGGTTCGGCAGGGAAGAGCGAACAGCGGGGGAGACTCCCAAATGCATGATGGGCCAGCCCGACAGGTGGCGTAGTGTCCGCAGAAGGCAGTCAAAGGTACAACGGCCGGGCACCAAGAATGCTCTTGCAGTATCCGAGTGGCACGCTACGATACAAACACACCTGGGGTCGGCCCCGATATCAGGTACCAGAACTAGACGGTCACGAAAGAGCCCCGGCCAGACTGGGACAACATCCCGGATCCAGTCGCCATGCACAGCTTGATAGTGGCCGAGCAACGCAGGGTAAACAGTACGCGTAGCTATCTCATGCGGACCTTGCATGCCTGTCAGAGGACACAAAAGGACACACCGCAGCCGCGGCTGACTGACAATCCCCTCAAATGTCCTGTCAAACCTTGCGTCTCGCCACGCGAAGGAGCCCACTTCGACCGTGTCACGACGTGTCGGCCTTAAAGTGTCCGTCCACTGGAGCATTGCCTGGACCGCAGGAAGGAAAACCAGAAGGCGCATAGGGACGTATCTGAAAGACAGTCCCCCAAGTATCCACATTGGCAACACAGCAGCCCCACTAGTGACAACTGGTGTCGGAGGCGGCGGGCCAAACGGACCTGAGTCGAGAAGGAGGCAGTCACCATCTCGAAGGTGCACCGGCCGTTCGACATTACGTCGAAGAGGATACGGTTCGCGCAGTCGGCCAAAACGACCACCTAAGGTCAACGCCCGAGTAGGACCAACCGGGAGCGTAGCTGGAAGGCAAACCGGGTGAAGCCCTCGATGGGTGCGAAGCACAACGGAAGCCAGTGCCGAATCGGCTGCTGCGGGAATCAGATGAACCGCCTCTGTATCGGGCTGCGGTTGGACAGGGAGTATCTGCTGCCAGCCACGGCGGCCAGAGAAATCTTGGAGCAGAAACCGAAATTCTTGCCCGGATCCAACAAGGGGGGTGACCACGCTACATTGGTCAGAAACTGTAAAGGGATTATGGATAGTCAGCGGACACCCCGCCGGCAGAAAAGGTCGGTTTCGGTTGCTGCGGTCGTCGACCTCACACATGAAAGCAATAACACGTCCTTGCAAAGTGGGAATGGACGCATGATCGAAGGTTGGCGCAACAGCGGGCCATTGGCCAACAACCGGCGTACCAGTGCGCGCAGCGTCCTCATCACTCGGGCGGAGTAGATGGGTGTCCTCACCTCCTGTCCCCACAAGTTCGGCTGCCGGCGTAGGGGCCGTAACCTCTGCAAGGTCTGGTGAGCTAGGCTGGGAGGGCTCCGATGGGGCACTATCTTCGCCGTCGCCACGAACAAGAGTGATGGCAGAGAGAACCCCTAGCACGAAACCGGACTGCCCTAGGAACCTCCCAAGAAGAAAGACGCCCCATTGCGCAACGGGATGTACAGTTCTAGCCGTCGACTTGTCCTTATTGGTTAACTCCTCAGGACCATGAAACCATGGTGCGGCACCCACCTCCGCGGGCTCGCTCCCTGGGAGAACGCCCGCAACCTCAAGTCGTGAGGTAAGCATCGTGAGCTGATGACTGATTTCATTGACCTGCCGAACGACACTAGGCGGGGCGGAGTGGGGCTCCTTAGTGGGCCAGCGCGTTGGAGCCGTGCGGGACGGACCAGCAGCCTCAGCAGGTGGTGGAGGTGACTGACTCATACCTGATGGCAGCACTTGGAGGCAGGTCTCGCCAGCTAGAGGAAGTTCCCCTCCTGCACCACGGCACAGATCATAATCAAAATGAAAGGAAGCCGGAGCATCCGATGGCGCATCCCAAGAGGAGAAACCCGCAGCAGGGACCGGAAGATTACGCACCAAGGTAATAATGGTCCCGTGGCCTGGCGCTGGCAACTGAGACCCGAAGGGAATAACCCGGCCCCCATGCCAAATACCGAACTGTCCCTGCGAGAAGAACGGCAAGCCAAACTCCTCAGCAGCTGTTTGTCCCACATGCTGCCAATCGAAGACCGCTCTGGGTACGCTCATGACAGCAGCTCGACCTCGATAATGCAAAAGCCAAAATATCGTGGATGTGGTCGAGCCGGACGGCACATGCAAGAGGTGCGCAACCCCGTGGACAATCTGAGGGCTCGTCCAGACGAAATCACCTGTGGCAGTAACGCCCCTAGCAGTATTGGCCACATAAGTGGCCATAACACCTGGGTCGGGAGTAGAAACATACGGAACAACCGTGGGAGCTGCTAGGGTGTAGGTCCAGATCCGGCAGATGGTAGGCGCCGGATCGCGAGGAAGTCCCCACGCAGGGGGATGCCCCTGATGCTGGCCGGAAGAAGTGCGCAAGATAAGATCCTGCTGCATTGCCCTTACAGGATGGACGTGGAGCGATCCCAACAGAACCCCTATCAGCAAGGAGCTGCGCATGGAGCTAGCCCTAGAAAAGGAGCCAATCGCAATTTCAGTTAGAACCAACCCTCCAGCCGAGAGGTGCCCTAAGACCCGTGAAAAGGGGTAAGTGATAGCTGCTCGGACCCCAGCAGGAAGCCTCTGCATCGCACCTGCCTCTGGGCCAAAAGAGAGGCCTTGGGCTTGACCAAGTGAGTTCAGGGTAAGCACACGTCTACCATCCGGCTCATACCATGGAGCAACAGGGCGCAGAAGCTCCCTCGACATGCCGTCCCTAACAATCCACCAGGTAGGATCCCCAATCGGGCACGATACAACATCCAGGACAGTAGGTTGCGTGTCAAACGCAACATGCAGACCGCAGGAGTCCGGACGGTGTCCTGCTTCCCAGAGCAAACTATTAAACCCGGACAGCGGCCCGCCCTTGGGGTAATCAAAAATGGCAGGCCCTTGAAAGGGTGTCCAAATGTGGAAGCGAATCGTGTCAGTCGGTGCGTTAGCCTGACAATATCCCCAGAGGGAGGCAGGCATGACACCCAAGTGCGTGGTTTGGCAGGATAGCTCATAGCACCATGCCACGGCCACTGGCGGGGAACTGTCATATCGAGGGAATACCTGCGGTTCCGGGCATTCATCGTCAGTATCTGAGGCCGCACCCAACACCGGCACCGGGCCCTGAAGAAGAAAAGGGAGGAGGAACCACCATCCTAGGTATGATCGAGTCGTCAGGCTGCGTCCAACGGCAGGACTGACCACACTGGCAAATGCTGCAACTGACGGCTGGTTCAGAACCCCATTGATGCGTGCCTGGAGGCCGCGTGTGGCGTCGCAGGCGAAGGCGTCATGGCCTTCTTGGAAAAGGTGCCCACATTCCCCAGCCAGAGAGGACACCTCACCAGGCCATTTCCAAACAGCCAACTGTCCGTGGATCTCAACACCTGGCAGGTCCCACGTGGTGAGCCCTCCAATTGACATAACTTCGGGCCATTCCACCGACAGCGTGCAAGCAGCTCTCACCCATTCTCCGACTCGGATGGCCCACGGAAAATGGCCTTCGCTGCAAGGAACTCCGCAACTAACCCCAAAATGGGGGCATTCCAGCAGTCGCATGGGACTTGACGAGAAATGTCCCGGTACTGCAACGCAGCCCTTAGCTGGACGACGTTTAACTAGTGCTTTCGTTGGTGCCGGTCGCGCATGAGCTGGCCAGTGCAGAGGGAAAGTTTGAACTCCTTGTTCAACCCGGGAACTCGGAAGAACAGGCTCCTGGAAAGCTTCCGGCTGTAGCGCGGCAAGGGCTAGCTTCCTAGGGGCTTGCTGTTGGGAGAGGCGCCATCCTGCATCAGACAAGCGACAGAAGTCCAATCCAAGCTGAAAGAAAACGAAGGGAAAACCTGAGCTAACTTGTGCCGCCGAAAGCGCAAAGTGCCGCAAAATAGTTGGCTGTTGGTCTAAGACCGCGTTCCAAAAGGACGACCCACGAATGCTTGACAAAGGAAGCTCCTCAGAGACTGGGGCAGACACAGTGAGGACAATCGGGAGGACCCCGCAATCCAAAACATCAGTGAGCAGAACCGTGAGCGTGCTATGCGTGCGCTCAATAAGACAGAACAAGTCGACCGCCGGCGCAGAAAGAGGCAGTCGAATGAGGCAACTTGTCCCACAACGATGCTCACCGTACCAAGACTGCAGAGCTGACTCAAGACGGTACTTAGTGAATCCTTTAGGGACTTCAACCAGAAGCAGGCCTTGGTCGGCAGACGTGATAAACACCTCAGTGTGCGGAACAAGCCAACTGGTCGCTGAAAACGTGGGCATCGGTACAGACGAAGCCCCAACGTCTGGCAGGTTAATCTTATCATCACTATGCGCCACGACTACATCTCCATGTCGCAATGGGTGAGGCGCCCCTTCATCAAGACGAAAGCTTCCTCCCGGGAAAAGCAGTGTCAGCGCCTGCAGGATGGAGGGCCCAGGGTTGGAGCGGACCACATCCAGACAGATCAAGGGTCCGCCGGCGTCAACAAGCACAGTAACATACTGCAAACTACGCGCTGGGGAGATGAATCGGACACATCGATCAAATCCAGAAGGTTGAACCAAGATCGGGAAACCCCGTCCCAACAGGCCCCCTGCCCTGAGTAGCACGCTCTTCAGGACGTCTGCTCCTCGGTCACCTGGGAAGAGGAACCAAACGGAATCACCGGGCGATGCTACCTGAAAGTAGTAGTGTGAGGCAGGGGCAGTTGCTAAATTCTGACTCCGGCTCCACTCAGCAGAAGCCCATTCACGGGACGCGCTCAGTCTCTGTGAGGCGGTGGTGCGCGCCAACCCCGGCTTCCGTGTCTAATGGGATCCTAACCTGTGCATCCTCTGACTTACGATGGAGGGCAATCCCATCGGCGGGCGGATCGGAGTCCGGTATCAAAAAAGTACCCCAGCTGACGCGCAACCCGAGAAGCAGCAAGGCAGCCGAACGAACGCCATGCCTCGTAGTAACCGCCAAGAGAACCCCAAAATTGATGGCCGAGCGCCCACTCGCAGAAGAACCGCCGCTGGCCGAGCACGGCGAAGCTTCTGGAAAGGTCCGGCGACGTAAAACCACAAGCGGGGCTGGTGCATTTGCTTCGAGAGGCTTATCAGGATCCACTGAGTGTTCACGGTGGAGCACCATTAAACTGCCCCGAGCAAGAAGCTCAGCAAGCTTACAATCCGGTACTGGTTCTCCGGATGTGGCCACAGCCATTGCCAGGCGAGTTGCCGGGCTCGCTCCGGGTTGGAAAGGAAGCACGGCAAGCCCCGCACCAAGTGGTCGGAAATCGATAAGGCCTGGGAGACAACCTTCAGGACATTGTAAGGCAACAAATTGCACCGCAGGCAACTGCTCTAAAGGAGGGAGGACCCGAGCGAAATGACTAAAAGTAGCACCCCCGCACGTGACATCCGACATGAAAGCTCCCATCACAGTTGAACGAATGGAAAGATGGTCCGCAAACATCGGGGCGAATGTAAAAAACAGCCCGTTGGCATACAGAACCACCGCATTGACCCCAGCTTCGGAATGAAAGGCAAGCTCAGCGGGTCCAGGCAGCGAAAGGCTCGTGGAAAACACGTCCTCTAGAGACAGTCTATAGGGGACAGAGAGCCATGACGAGAGGGTGGTACCGATTGAGGAAGACGCACCGTAGGCCACACTTGCAATGCGTCTCCTTGCGGGAGCAAAAGCACATACGCCTGGGGAACAAACCAAGCATTTCCCAGCCGACATAGGCAGTTGTTCACATCAACGTGTATGCCTTGCTGCACAGCCGCGTCCCGGATTATCGCGGCGCCTGGCTGGTGTCGGAAGGTGTCTAAAAGCGAGACAGAGCCGCCGACAGCACGAAGGTCAACTGGAACACGGATCCGAAACCACGGGAGGGTGAGCTCGGTAAGAACGTACTGCTCCGGTGGGAGGGAAGGCAGTGTTTCCACCTGGCGGCGCCAACTCCATTCCGCTGTCTGCAGACCTAGCGCAGAGCATACCTGTCTGAACAAGAGGGCCCCATGGGTACGGTCATCAACATGAAGGACCTGAGGGCAGTGCGCCAAAGACGGGGCAAAGACCCCGATGTCTCGCATTGGTGCTGGAACCTGCTGCAGGACCGGTTCGACACAAGGACCACCCGGAAAACGCACTGGAGCAAGGGCTGACGCATCCACAGCAGCAGGAACCGACCCTGTTGAAAAGACTGGCTGGCCCCGCGCAGCACTGACCGGCCAAATCTGAACCGAGTGAGTTGGAGTGCAGCAAAGCCATAAGAGTAAGTAGACCCGTAGCTGGCGCGAGCTCGGGCAAATCTTAAATGGCGACCTGCTGCCGTAAAGAATCCACCTTGCTGCAACACTGGCGGCCGGACCAACCCATGGCGTGAACAACCAAGCGCCCAACAAACCGGATCCAAGGCGCCAGACATGACCCCATCGGAGGGCCAGAACACTCCGGAAAAGGCCGTGAAGCTCCTGCCAAGCGCAAGCAGAAGGGCGGAGAGTGTTGTGAGGAGCAGGCATACCAACTTTGTCGGAGTTGTCAGGCCGACCCGTCCATTGCCTTCCGCCGAGAAATCCCTCCAGGAGCAACAAGGCCAAACTCCATGGAAGAAGGCAGAAAAGGGCGAACACTATTACCCAAAAGGGACGAGGCCAAACAAAAGTACCATGGGGCCTATTCTTTAGGGCTCGGCTTGCCGGGCAGTTGTGCCGCTCAAGAATGGGCAGGGTTGTTGCAACAGTGCACGCACTTGGGGATCCTCTGCAGGCTCCACAGCAATATACCCTTTGAAGGGACCTCCTCGTTCGGTCAGCAGGGTAGGGTGCAGCCACTCCTGCAGAGTAGCGGGTGCGTAGCTGTAAGGGTCGAGGAGCCCTCCTACAGTTACATGTGCCGCGACCAGAAGGCCTTGGGGCAGGTGGCTGACAACACCTGCACACGAACGGACAAGAGGCAGCAGATCTCGCAGTTGTTGGTAGAGACCAGGAAGTGCACCTAAATCCCTGCTCTGCAACACCTGTTGGAGGCATTGCCACACCGCTCCACAGTGTGTCAAGACCTCGCTTTCTTTCTCGGCGTTGTGGACGGGACAGACTATTGCATCTTGTTCGGGGCAAGAAGCAAGTTCGCCCACACGTTCCCCTCCCTGAGAAACTGCAAACTGCAAAAGAGCAGTCCATGCCTGCTCCCAAGTGCGTGGGGGCTCGCGCTCCGCCGGGATCAGCTCCGCTTCGTCTTCCACAGCAGCCAGGAGCGAAGACCTGGGCACTTTGTCCGGTGTGCGACCTGTCTTCAAGGATGGCCACGGCGTGCCCGTGTCGATCTCCCGACGTGGGCTTTTGGACGGCCTCTCCGTGTGGCCACCACTTCGCTTCCTCCATCTGCCCCCTGTGGAGACAGGTAACGCTGTCGCATCTACACCAGCTGGAATCAGAGGCGGCGGCACTGCGGTCGGGGCCCGAACATCCATAGTAGATACGCCAGGTAACTCCGTGGCGAGAATCGGTATGGCTGGATCGCCTGAGCCGTCGAGGCCTAGGAGATCTTCGTCCGTGGCACCAAAGCTTGCCACAGAGCCCACATCCAGATGAGCTCCAAGCCGCACTCCTCCAGTGTCGCCCCATTGTTGAGGAGAAACCAAGGTGAGTGTAGCATCCGTCGTGCTTGTGCGACCGGAAGGAACGCCATCCTCCACAAGCTGCGCACCTGGTGGCAGCCCTCCAGCGGAGTTGGCCACGGTGTTGCCCACTGGTTGCATTGTAACTGTGCCAAAGGCGCGAAGGCGGGCAGCAAGTTGCAGCACCTCCTGTTCCTGAGGTTCTGACCAGATTGGTCCCACCGCAGCTAGAGCCTTGTTCACCTGAGCCGCTGTGGTCTCTGAGGGCTGCTCGGAAAGGATCTCGCGCATCTCCCTGGCAGCCACGGCCGTGTCGTCGTCCAACCGTTGTCCGATTGCACGGACTTGCGCCAGAAGGCCGAGCATATGCTGGCTGACAAAGCCAAACCAAGCCTGCAAAGCGACGGCCATGTCGGCTTTCGCACGCTCGTTGCCGGACAGGCGTTTGGCAAGTTTGTTGGTAAGGTTGGTCCTCCGCTGGAGGTTCTGCTCCGCCGTCCCTGCCAGAAAAGGCACCGGTGCCGCCGTCCATAAGTCTTGCGTGGCCCGTGTAGACAGTGATTGAACCGCCTGCACCACACTCGAGGGCAAGGCAAACTCTATGCGGTTCTGCTGAGGTTGTGGTTGATCGCCACGACCTTTCTGTTTTCCACCCGGAGGTCTTGATGCCGGCACATTTGCTGTTGCCTTGGGGGCCATGCTCCCGTGATGGGCCTGCAGGAGCCGACGCGCTGCCAGCGAGGTTCTGCCTGCCCGCAAGAGTTTCCTCGCCTTCGACCGAGCTCGTCGAAGCCGACGGTGCCACGGCGGGCTTGGCGCCCTGCTCTCGTGGCTTCGCACCACCAAAACTGCCCCAGATAACAAGGCCAGTGCCAAGAATCAAGAGCGGGTAGATCGGCCAGTAAACCCTGGCCTTGGGCATGCGACCTCCAGTCGCGGTACCACACCAGCTGTCGGCCGAAGCAGCGAGAGCTGGGAAGAGGGGCGCGCCCCCTCGTTAACAGCAGAAAGGCTATCAAAGCCAAACGGCAGCGCTCAACACAGAGCTGGGGTCGGTTATATGCAGGGCGCGAAACCACTCCTAACCGGAGACGCTACACACCAGCTGCACTCGAGCCAGACGCCTTCAACCCGAAACCCATAATCCTATAACTCGTGGAGGCTGTATTCTTCGACTACTTCCCGGGTGGCATCAAAGACACGTGCGACTGCCTGTTTTTCTGGGGCCCCATGGACCAGAGTCGGGCGACTCTCAGCTGCATTTGTGTCCGTTATAGGGAAGGCTTCAAACTACCTTGGGAGGATCACCCTCGGAGAACTCCTGGTTGCCAGGAGTTTTCCGTGATTGGGTTGCATGTTGATTGCTTGCATGAACTGACTTCACTTGGCTTGCATGTGCCCACATACACCGGTTGCTTGGAGCATGCATGACATGGTTGCGTGTTGCTCTGGAGCATGACTCTGCCAGATTTGGCTTGCACCATGGAGTTTCATTGCTTGTTTATACAATCAAGCAAAGGCAGCAGAGAATTGTCTCTCAGGCCCCGGGGTGTAGAATATTCGGTGGATTGAATGGTGAGGCTCGACTGGAACTAGCTGTGTAATTTGTTTGCTCTGTTTGCATGGTGCAGCTTTTCCTGCTTGCATGACACGACCACGAATGGCTTGCACGTGCAAGCAACATGTATTGTCTGTTGCATGCACGACACGACCACGACTGGCTTGCATGTGCAGTCCATGTCTTGCTTTGTGTTTGCATGGCATGCTTCCGTGGTTTTGTTTTGCTTGCTTGGCATGACCAGCTTTGGCTTGCATATGCCTTGCAGCCTGTCTTGCTTGGAGCTTGCATGGCATGCTTGCTTGGGACTGTCCTCCTTGCAGCAGACGAGCAGGATTTGCTTGCATCTGCTTGGCATGTCCTGCTTGGAGCTTTCATGGCATGCTTGTTTGGTGTTGTCTTGCTTGCATGACATGAACAGCATGGCCCTGTATGTTTGTTGCATGTTTTCTCTGGGACCTTGCATGGCATGTTGGTTTGGCGCTGTTTTGCTTCCTTGACAACATCATCTTTGCATCGTCTGCACGTGCCTTGCTTGTGCTTGACACTTGCATGGCATGCAAGTTTCGTCTGATTTGCAGGGCATGACATGAGCAGGATTGGCTTGCAGGTGCCTTGCAGGCCTTCTTTGCAGCTTGCACGGCATGCTTGTTCGTGAGGCATACCTGCTTGCATGGGATGGCCGTAAGTGGCTTGCACATTCCTTGCATGTCTCGTCTCTTGCTGGCATGACACGACTATAGGAGTGGCTTGCATGAGCCTGGCATGTGTTGCTTGCAGCCTGCATGGCATGCCTAGGTATTGTAATCCGGCTTGCCTGGCATGTGCTGTATTGGCTTGCATGTGATATGCAGGGTCTGCCTTGAGCATGTTGAGGCTGCATGGGAGGTGGATGTGCCCAGGCCTGGGCACAGTGATTGTCTCATGCAGCAGCAGCCATGCCTCCAATTCGTTTGTGTGTCGACCGGCCAGAGAATTCAGTATACTGAATTGTCTAAGGGCCGGCCGGCCGGAGAATTCAGTACACTGAATTCTCCTAGGCCGGAGAATTCAGTGTACTGAATTCTCTGGCCGGCCGGCCCTCAGAGAATTTAGTGTACTGAATTCTCTCCCCGGCCGGCCCTCAGAGAATTCAGTATACTGAATTCTCTCGTTTGTGTGCTGACTTCAAGAATCGCTGTTGCATCTCCTGTACATGTTGTTGGTTTTGGCTCCTGGACATGATCCAAGCAAGACAAACAAGAGCAGAAGCAGTCCAAAGAGTGCAATATCTGCAGCACCACAAGCACACTCAACAGGGTCGGGCTTCGAAACAACCAGAAATAAAACAGTTTAGAATTCTTGTTCCTGCCATCAATTCGGCAATATTGCTGGATGTATCACAGCTGCCAACCCAGCGAGCATGCAAGCCTCTGCATCTAGTGGGGCTGCAAGTGCCGATGATGACACTGGCGGCTCCACCGAGATTCCAAACTTGCTGGATGCTGCTCTTCGCGAGTTGTGTTTCTTTTACTTGCAGGCACACCTGGAAGCCTCCTTTGGAGACCGCCGGACCTCAAATGCAAAACTGACACGAGCCAGGCGACAATGGGAACGTGCTGAGATGGAACGGCTCAAGGAGTATGTGAGACCACAGCTTGGCGACAACTGTGAGCAGTTTCTTCTAGACTTCCAATGTTTGGAGAGACTGAATAGAAACATCCCGGAGAATGACAGAAGCTGGCTGGCCCAAAAAGCCAGCCAAACAATTGGTCGAAAACGACACGAAATCCTGGACTGCCTTGGAGACCTGCTCCAGAAGACTTTCGGGAGATGCATGAGCGACGTGAGTTTCGAATACATGGCACGAAGGATGGTGGCTATGGTAGCACATCTGCCTGTCAGCTCTTGCCTGGAGGCATTGTATCCTTTCCTTGACGACACAAGCCGCTTCGTTTTCCAAGGGTGGCTCGAGGGTTTTCCATGCACCAACATTGAGGGGGAAGAACAGGCATCTGGCTCCGGAGGACCATGAAGCTTCAAGGGACCCGGCTGTGAGGAATGGTGGCAAAAAGTGTGCTTGCATCAAGACAGAACATGCAGCATTTGTTTCGTTGTTGTACCCAGGCAAAGGCCATAGGTGGCTGTGTGCCAACCGACCAAAGACATGTCGTGCCCGAGCCAGCTTGCTTCTAGCCCGGGGATGCATGCCAAGCCTCCGGAGCCTTTCGGCTCGCTTGAATTTTGGGGCCTCTCTCTATAAGGCCTTATAAGTACAGCTCGAGCATGGCAGGAGAGGAGACCTGCCGCTTTTTATGTGTGGAGTGGAGTTGAAGCATAGACTGCCGGGACTTGGCCAGGACCGTTCACGATCCCGCAGCCCATTGCGATACAAGTGGAAATGGTGCTGGAAGACGGGTTGGTTCGGCGGTGTTCAGCAGCACGGCAGCAACTGCAGGCTGCTGCCGGTTGCATGAAGCATGTGTTGCTGCATGAGGATCTGGTGGTGGGTTACTTGGAAGGAGCGAGCAGATGCAAAGTGAGCTCTTGTAGAGAGTTTGCCAAGCAATGAAATTTTCTGGTCGGAAAACCAGAGCCAGCACTATAACAGCACGACGACTTCTGTGCGGCATGCCGAGAAAAAAGATGTGTCGTCGGTGTTGCTTGCAACATGCATGTTTAGACGGAAAGCTACCTGTTGCATGAGCAGGTTTGCTTGCAACAAGCACTCATGGCCGAAGCTTCGCGACCGTGCACTACACCAGGCTGCTCGAGAATGACGAAGAAGGGCCGTTTTTGCTGCAGCAGCTGCCGTGAAGGCCTACCACGACATTCTAAGCGGTGTAATGCAGTGAACCCGCTCAGCTGGATAGCTGGCGATCTTGCGAGACGTGCAGCCGCCTGTGCAGTGGACACCATATCCATTGCTGTTCCTTGTGCAGGGAAGGGTGTGGCCATAAGAAGACCTGTGATGACAGAGTCGAGCTGCACGGGCCCTGTCATTGGATGAATTGGACTGACACCCGGCCAGTCCTCTCTACAGTCTTCCAGACAGGGCACGAGACTCGTCGAGCTGGGCTATGTGCGGTTGAAAAGGACGAGGCTCCCATTTCATGGCTGTGTCGCAGTTGCATGATGCTTGTTGCGGCATGCCTTGCTGAAGTCGCATGAAGCATGCACGTTTTCTTGCAGCTTCATGACTTGGACATGCATGGTTGTGCTTGCATGAAACATGCATGGCTTCTTCATTTGCCCTGAAATTAATAAGCTTGTTGTGCTTGGTGGCATATGCATGCATTTGGGCATCCTTGTGGTCAAGTCGTGTGTTTACCTGAGTGCTTGACTTTCCCTTTTGCACTTTCCCAGATGTCGTGGACAAGCGACCACTTCAAAGCTGAACTTGCTGACATCGCGAAACTCATCCAGATCAGCAGTTCCAGTTCCACCTTGAACGACAGCCTGCTGTCCGCCCTCCAGAAGAAGCTGGACAACAGCAGCAGTTTCCTACCCAGCGACTTTGTGCAGTGCATCGAGGCGGTCGAGGCCTGCAGCCTGGCAGACAACCTGAAAACGAAGCTGAAGGATACCATCATGGAGAAAGCCGCTGCTGCGACCCAAGAACAGGGAAGCAAGACGGTCCGGAGTCCCCAGTCGATCACAAATATACCGGCTTATCTCACCAAAGATGAGCTGCAATTGATGATGACGAAAGACGTCTCCACAGTGCCAATGCTCATAGTACATCGCCTGAAGAAAATCGGTATGACGAGTCTCAAAGAAGACTCCAAAAGGTCAGCGGTTGCGATGGAGGTCCAGTCGTATTTGTGGCAAGGTTTACCTAAACCCACTCCTCATGAAATTTATGCCAAGGCAAAGAACATCGCCCAACTCTTCGCAAATGATGATACCACATCGCTTGTGCCACCCGTTAAAACGTACCCTTCCCTCCCAACGGCGCTTGGAGAGGACTGGGTTCGGAAAGTTTACGGGGTTGATGGGCCAGGGCCTTCTCTGGTGAGCCCGCCAGGCTGGGCAGCTTCTACTGCCGAAAATCCTGACAGCTGGATTTCCAGCTGATCCTCCACATCATTGATATTGGCAGACATGAGGCCACGAAAAAATTGATCATCAATCAATCTGTTGTTGGCTTTGCGATGGAGCC